TCGTAGAGATATGGACCGGAGAGTCTAATCTTGTTATTATTTTGAAAGCTCCATTACCCAGCAACAAAATCAACAATGTAACCTACCATTGACAATGAAATCCCATGTCTCGTCGCGAGCTCAAAAGCTGAGAACTTGGACAATCCTAACTCGTATCAAAAATCATCTACAAGATTCAGAGTAAAATTGAAAAATTTACATCTCTGAAACAGATGATTTCCAAACTCCCACACTTCTCCTGCGAAACGTTCGTTTCGTCGTGTTTCCCGGAAGTTGAACAGAGTTCAAACGATCGGAGTAACCGAACGAAAGACGTGTTCGCTTCGCGATTCCTTGGATAATGGCCTCCGCGTGTCGGCGTTTTCACGAGGCCAGAAGCACGAAATGTTTCTCGAAGAGTCGCGTCGCGTCGGAGATCTCAATCTCGCCGGATCACGATCCGCTATTAATAACCGCGAGTACGACCGAGATGGCTAATTGACCGCGGCGCTATCCATTAGGCCATCCTTTCGGCTATTTTCCCGAGGCTTCCCGCGCTCGACTTCTACTCGATTCATCTGTCCGTCGCCATCAGCGCTCGTCTATCCTCGCTCGTCCCGCTTGGACGTGCTTCCAAGCGGATTCCACCCGGGGAAACGACGACGAAAGCGACGCGAGATCACGTCCCAGAAAATCGTAAAAGGTAAATTCTCGATGCCGATCTCGCGGAACCGAGAGCAACGAGCTGTTTTTTATTTCGCGTAATTAGGGTTGTCGACGAGAGACAGACCTACGACGAAGAAAGTAATCGGAAAGAGGTATCAAGATGTCGAATCTCGCGTTGGAGAAGTTTCGCTGGTGGATTCTAATGGAATTGTGGAATGTCGATTCGAGCGCTGGCTAACTGTTCGTTACTCCTCGTATGAGTGCACCCAACGATTGTTCAAGGTCACTTTTATTTTATTTAAAGGAATTTAAGAATTAATCCTAGTAGGTTCTATAATTACCAAATATCTAGACAAGCTTTAGTTCCTTATTGTTGGAGAATCTTTTGCAAACGGCTTTTCTCTTCTCCGTGTAATATTCATTTACTAGTAAATAATGCCTAGCCTGCCTAAATGTGATGGAACTAACGTAATTTTCTTTGATAATTGTAAAATAGAGATATCATATTAAATATTACTAATGTAACAATTAATATATTAATAATATTAAATTTATTAATAAATATCATTATAAAATAATATAAATATTATTACAAAGTAGAAATTTCTAAGAAAAAGTAGCTAAATATTATTATAAAATAGCTAAATAGCTAAAACTAAAATAGCTAAATATAATATAAAATATAATAAAATAGCTAAATATAATAATATATGTAAATATAATATGATAAAATATATGATAATAGCTAAATTTATAATAATATTTAGCATAAAATAGCATAGAAATTTCTAAGACAGACAGAAAAACGCTTCCATTCAGAATAAATATAATTACGATCAAACACACATTTCTCTAAAAGCAAGTATAAAATATATTCCACTCACCCATGCCGCAATGATGTCAGCCGACGATTCATCGTGAGACATTGATGACACTGGTTGACCATTGGACTACCAAAATTTTTCTTCGCGATTTTTCTGATTCGAAGCTGCTCTGGTGCAACTCTGCTATCTTGCAGAAGCATCGCGTGGGTCGATGGCAGGTGGGAAGATCAAGGGGTGTGCACCAGGAAATATTCTTCTCGCGGACCTGCAATTAGAACGGACGCGACGTGGGTGAGTAAAGGTGAACAGTAAATCAGTCCGCGTTCAAGATACGACGGCTGGGAGAAAACGAACATGTGCAAAGATCGACGAGACGAGACCGCTGCATCAGGTGCCATGTTGCAGCGATCTCGAGAGAAACTTCATTTTTACCGAATTTTTCTTCAAATTCACTTCCAGAGTTGAATGTAGCAACTTTCAGACTTTAAATGTAAATGCTTAGAGCATTGTAAAATATTTAACATGGGCATTTCTTACGATTGGGAGATCCTTTTCTTCCCTTTCCCTCCAAAAATCTTTTCAAAATAGTATCAATAAATTAATTGAGAAACTCGACGATTCAAAATAAACAGAACCAAGTAAAACGATAACGAATTTCCCTATATCAAATAGCATAAATCTCAAACTCTGTAATTAGAAGAATGTTCTTTTACCCAGCAAGTGTCAGTCATCATCCTAAGCCAATCTTCGATTTTCGAAAGCCACAAAATCTCACCCATAACCGTAACCTCGAGCCCCAAAACCCCGTGAAAAAATTAATCACTCCAGTCTCACCCCCGGCGCCAATAACCGCAAGGGCGTGACGGTAAGAGGCACCAGACTATCGAGTACAATAAAACCAAGCAAGTAACAATATACAAAATTCGTCACGGTCGCGATAAACGGCGGAAGATCGAGGCCATCACCCTTAACAGACGGTCCCTGACAAATAGACGAGGCTTGGCCCGTAGAGCTCGAGGGTGAGGAGACTTCCTAGGCGAATTCATAGACGGCCAGGAATGCGCAATATTGTCGGCAGTCTGTCACACATTCGATCCGGTCAGCGTTCGAGATAAGGCAAGCGGCGCGCGTGATCGCCGTCGTTTTATTACACGCGTGCAGCGGTGGCCCGCAGATGTATCAGACAATAAACTACGGCCTGTTTGGGATTTGTGGGCCGCGTATTAATCTTACTGTATTTATGTGTCGGCCCACCGGAGAAAAAGCGGTCTCCAGATCATCAAGGGGCCCGGGGGGAAGAGAGCGTGAGCGCGCGATGAAAGCATCGATTTCAGATAAAATCGAGGCTTACCCTTGAAAAAAAGGGATTCGTCCCGGTAAACGACAGGAGCGGGGATTGTTCAGAGCGTTGGTTAGATCGGGCCTCCTTTGCTGGACGAGTTTTGTTTTTGGCCTTCGTTGGTGGTCCTCCTTTGATGCGGGGGTTGGATCGAAGAATTGGATATTGTATTCCGTGGACGATTCAGTGGCAAAGGGATGTTATCTGATGCATTCAGCTCGGGAACAGCTGGCACTTTTTATTTGCTACTTTGCAGAGTAAAGAAGGAAAATTAATTATAATCCTTGATAATAATAACTGGACGAAATGTAAGTTTGAGGTATTTCGGTCATTTATTAAGTTCTTTTTCCAGAAAGCTGCGATATCCTTAAATATCTACATAGATTCATTGAGTCTGCACGTAACTCTTTCTATAGCAGTGTAACATCTTTTCTTTTTTCATCAGTGCCATAAGAGTATAAAATATTGATGCATTTATAAAAACTTGTGCGTGTGCAATGTATTATTCGTTAGTATCTTTAGAAAACATGACAAATCTTTCTTTAGTTTTCACTCTCTAAATTATTATGTTTATAAAGACATAAATTTGCAGAAACATTCATGGACATTTTGTATCCATGTTAATTTAAATATTAAGCCTGAATATCTCTTACATCATTCCCAGTGAAAATCGAAAAAAGACAACAGCGAAGATGCATTCAATAAAAAGAAGTGATCGATTGGGACGCTGATCATCGTTCGATTTGCGTTTTTCGTCGAGCAGGTGCATATCGACGTTATGTTAATAGGCATTCAGGAGATTTCGGTTAACCATATGCTATCCAACGAGGGTGGAAGAGACGCGTGGAGTGAGGGCAGAAATACTAATAGAAGCCGTTCGCAGAAGCAGGCTTGAATAAACGGTGCCCCGTCCAGCCAGGTCTAATCATTTCTGGCCGCCTAAGAAACGCTGGAACGGAAGCCAATTTGTAAATTGCCTCGATAAACCACCAAACCGATGCTGAATTTGTGGCTGAACGGCTCTTCACTCAACTCCTAGCTCATAGTTATGTCTCTTTTTTATTGCATTTTCTTATAATTATAGGGTTTTCTGTATTTTAGTTTGCTGGTACTCGTACTGCCTTTTTATATATTCCTTGTTCCCTTCTCTTCTCCATCATTCCAACGAAAACAAATTCATTTTCAAGATTTTTCATGGACAAAATTTCGTTTCATTAATTTCCGCTCTTCTTAAGGCCAAAGTAATTCTTCCAATTTCAATCATAGCAATCCTTAATAAGTACGTTTACTTTAATTTCCTGTTAACCTTCTGCAATACCATGTAACTCCAACACCGTGATTCAACACTAATGCTCAGGTGCTTCGATACATTTTCTCAAAACATGCTGTTCTGCGAATGCAAGCACGACCAGCCGATAAAAATCAAGTTATCTCGGTGTTCCGCGACAAGCAGCCGCGTAACGCATGCGCTGACGCCATTAGAATATCGTGGCTGCATACCGGGGCCCCGAAAACGAATGCCAGCCAAGGGAAAAGGGGTGACAGGGCCGACCGAAATGGAAGGGGTTAGCAGGATCGCCGGCGCCTTTGACCGGGAACCCCGTGGCGCGCGACATGCCTCGTCTGACCGCCATTTAGCGTGAACCTGTCTCCGGTGCAAGCCACTCCACTCTCGGAACTGGCCGTTTCGTTTTCGAAAACGGAATGTTTCGTCTGATGACGAACAGTTTTCGCCATGGGAAGCGAAAGTGAAGATATTGTACATCGAGTAAAAAAGGAGGGTTCGTGTTTACAGAATGTCGTGAATCCTTTAGATAATGAGATAACTCGTGATAACAGCCAATAACGAGATATACTTACTTTCTTGTAAAATTAAGACACCATTTTTTTCGATATTTTACAAGGAATTAAAGAGGTTGCCGCAATAAAAAGGCAGCTTTACTTTACAGTAATTTGGATAAATTGAGTCGAAATCAATCAAAGTCACATCGCTTTCCCAAATTTAATATTAATTTATTAATTTATTATTATTTAATGAATATTCGAATACTTTTGAACTGACCTATGTATATTTTTTTCTTACAAGTACAATTTAAATATTGGAGCTACCTTTTTATGACTGTAAACCCTTCGATTGTAATCGATGGTTATTAAAAGATAATTAATCAACAAAACTTACTATTCGTGCGAGAGTGCTGAGTTGTGAATATTTAAAGGTGAAATGGAAGGACTGGCGTTGTTGAGATGTTTATAGGTTCTTTGGATGATAAGTGTAGAAAATACTGGAAGATACTGATGATGTAAAAAGATAAAATTAAGCCATATATTTTTTATATATTTTATTAATATCAACATTGATAATTATTGAAAGGACTTACTATTTATATCAGAATATTCAACCACAGATGTTGGAGAATAAGGTAGAAATGTTAATATTATTGAAGTATTGCACATTCTTGCGTACGAAATCTTCAAGGACACTGGGAAGCACTGAATACCTACTTACATATACACATAACCATACAATTAGATAATCATTTTTTAAATATCTTATTAATATAGATTAATTATTGCTAAGATCTTACTATTTTTGTAAATGCTGCATTGCAGGTATCAAAAGAAAGTTGAAGTTTGTAAATCGTCAAATTGTTTGGTTAGAACAGGAGTCACTAATGATAGTTGCTCCGTGAAACACCTATTTATTATATAAATTGAATTAGATTGCTATTTTTCAAATATTCTACACGAAAAATGCAGCCAATTATTGTTAAGAGAACATATTTTTCAATATTACTCACAATTTTTACGAGGAACGCACCATTACGACGAGCGACAGTTACAAATATTGTTTCATATGACGCTACCACAGATGGCGTTATTGCGAACGCGCGAAAAATATACGTAATTAAATTATTGGATCAGATATAAGTATACATTAATTCTTTGTATTTGAAAAAAAAGAAAAATATTCTTGGATCGATATTAATTGAAAACTTCAGTAAATAAGAAAAAAAAGAAGAAGCACATAATTGAATCAACTACGTACTTTAAGAACAAATATTCGAATATAACAACAACAGTTATTAAACAGATATTAAAATTCTTTTTAAATTGGATTGATATTAAAAAATTTGTTCAAGTGAATTACAGTTATTTAACATAGTCACTTTGAATTTAGCAGTTACCTAGAGAATCTAGCAAGTAAAACTGGCCGACGATGTCTTCTTGGATGGCAAAACGATGCCAGGATGCTACTCCATTCCACCTACGCGAAGTCGTGGTCTGATCCCGTGGTCGAAATTTCTGTGTGTTTGTCGAGCAGCAGTAGTAGGTCCTGGAGTTATGTTACGGCTGGCCATAAACGAAATGAGAAAACTGTCCGGCCGCCGTTGAAAAATCTCCGCGGAATACAAATGCTTGATTTTTTCGGGCGGCGCTCGCTTTTTGTCGACCGCGCCTACGAAGCTTTTTTCGGCCCCCGGTCGAACGTTTCACCTTCGACAAATGGCACACTGATTGTGATTCCAAAACACGATGATAATAATGATAATTGAGATCAGGTTATGGCTCAAATGTAAAATTAATTCACTCTCTTTAATATAATAGGTAACATCATTGTCACTAATATTATCAAATGTATCTATTTTATCAAGTAATTCACATCAATGGAATTATCATTAACACTAGAACTAGCAAAAATACTATGGCACCAATTATATAATAATAGCCACTCTATAAGAGAATAGCCTATAATAGAGTACCTAAGAAAATATAATTATATATATTTTATATAATTACACACAGCATACAAAAATGTTCCCCTACCCAAATTATCCAAAAAATACCAAGCTGTCATCATATACCTTGACTGGCTTTTCATCAAATCCTTTCATGAAGCATGTCGAGCGTTTCCAAATTAACTAATAAATTAACGAAAGTCGAAGAGACAGTCGCTCTTGAATACGAGACCAGTCGATCGGTGGCTTTTCTTTCGATTCATGGCTCGCAATTAATCTCGATCTTGTTCCCGTAGCATGCTGCCGCGGGCCTGTACGGTCGTTAATTCGGTGCTGACGAAGGCACCCGACGTAGTAGTGGGGCTAGACGGGCAGTGAGGCAGAGGAGTTGGGGCCCGCTTTCGGGGCCCCGTTCCGCTTGTAAGAAGCGAACACGATGACATTCGTACCAGGGCCCGAGAAAACGAGTCGGGCTACATGGAAGCCTACACGAGCGAACGGTCGATTCGGAATCAGATGTTATCTTTGACGAGGGCTGCCGCTAGTGGGGGGGAAGCCGGAGGCCCTTTCTCAGTGCCCCGCGCCAAGATACGGATCTCCTTGGCGCCACCGTCTCCCGGGCCCTTCGCTACGGCCACGGGGCCACGCAAGTAGCGATGGCCACCACTCCGTTCTTCTATTTTTTGACCTCGCGAACTTTTGTGCGGTTTAATTGCGCCTTGGCTGGATTACTTGCCTCCTGATTATTTGCTAATACCAGTGATAAAGTAATCTTTGTGACATTATATTCCTTTTATCGTTTTTTACAACTTTTTACAGTGCCAACTTGATCCAAATGTAATTTCATTCTCAGATCCTTTCTTCTAAAATGTTATTTTCATCAAAAAAAATTCAAATTAATGACTTACTGTATAATATAACGCAATGGAATAAGAAAATTTGAAAGTTATTGAAAGACTACTTACTTCTATATAAAACAGTACAATTTATGATTTATCCTTTTAAAATTTCTTGTACGTTTCGCAATAACAAAAGTATCTTTATAAAGTTGTTACTTTCACGTTCTTTGCTTCCTTTCTTTGCAGTCTGTAACATCCATGAACGGTCATTTTCCACATTCTACTAACAAACAAGAAGTCGAAAACAAAAAAAAAGAGTCAAAGCGATCCTACCGGGCGATTCATGGTCTCTTCAGTCCATCACTACGACAATACAGACTGCTGTCGGGTCTCTGAAAAGCTGGCTTTCGAGGGCCCTAAACGCGGTTTAAGCGTAACCGATACCCCAGCGGGGGTCCCAGCACCGGTCCTCTTTGCGTCCGCCATCGAAAATTCGTTTCAACGATTGACAACGGCAACGAAAGAACGAACGATGAGGGACCGGTCAAACGAATGATTCCACCGGTTTTCCTTTACCCAGGTTCTCGCGTTCATTATCGTTGGCACGCGTGTCTCCTGTAGCTTGGATGATCCACCTCATATCGAGGGATCAATCGAAGCCGGATATGTCCGATTGAATTTACCGACGGGACAACACCGTGTTCCAACCGTATCCTGAAGACGTTAATCCACTTGGATCGTGAGTTATCGTCCTCCCACTCCAGAGGAACGCGGTTAATTTGCCGCCCACAAATGCTTCCTCCTGCGCAATTGTACTAACATTAGTAGTGAAATTTTCCAAGTTATCAGTGTTAATAAACAACCTTGCATTATATTAATAAATTTGCTAACTGAAAGAACTTTACAAGTTTCACAAATTGCAAGTTCCTGATTGTTGTATGTCAAAGAATTACGAAAAATGGAATTGTAAAAGAGAAATCTTTGTAAAATTTAAATTAAAACAAGAAATGCACGTACCTGCATAATTCAATAGTCCTTTGAATTACTACGGAGATCCTAATCTTCAATTTCATTATTCCTGAAAAGGAAGAAATACATAAAATTCCAATTGAAATCGTTAGAAACAGGAGAGAAATTGAAAAGCGAATGAACACTTCACAAATCGAGTCCATAGTTGAAAGCCCGAGCAATCGAGATTTTAATAAACGCATCTAACGTTGCGTCGTTTCGAACAATAGAAAATTGCACGTACGGTATGCATCGGCATGGTTGAGCAGATACAGCGTATAATTTAGTAACAGGGGCCGGGGGTTCCATGCAAATATCGAGAACAATGAAACGACGAGGCTCGCATTAATTAAGTCGTAAGCAGAATAGGAGACGTTCTTCGATTCGTTGATCGAGCATCGTCGTCGCTCGGCTACGGCTCGCGAGGAGAGCCGAGTTAATTGGCTCTCTAACCAAATAATTGACAGTAAGTAGGAAATGAGAAGTTATTCCTCGTAGGAGTTGTTTGTCGTCTCCCACTTTTCTTTGCCCGTCGCTATCGCGAATCGACTCTGGCGAATTAACGAGCGAACGTTGTAATTAACCACTGTCAGGGAATCAGAGACTCCTCTTCTCCTTCGATGTTGAAACTTCTTAGAATTCATCGAGTTCAACCGATCTTAACATCGTTCAATGAATATTAGACGCTTCTAGATCTCCAGCTATATGCTCAACTATGCTCGACTCTGTGCATCTCTACACAAAGATTATCTATTGTCACGATAAACAAATTATTCGAAGAAGAGAGACTCGAGACTCGGTCACGCGAGAAACAGGATTTACATGGACCGATAATTGGTAGATAATCTCTTCAAACTTGTCCTCAACTAGAATAGTTACCATCTACGATAAAAATTATCGCAATAAGTTTATCGTTACCTCAAAGGATTTTCCTAATGCCTGGTGAATGGACTCCCTCCAGCGTTGCATAGAAACATTTTTCATTGTAATCCCAGTAAACTAGACTTACGATGAATGATCCTAAATCTCTCTTCACTGAATCAAGTCCCGTTGTCATAAAACTGTTATTGTAATACGGATCTTAATTTTTTTTTCTTTTGAAGTGGACCTTGCTTTAATACAAATGCAATTATATGCATATTAAACTGATGGATATCAAATGATGTTTTTTTAAATAAACTTTTATTCGTATGCCGTTTCTTTTGAACGATGATTCAAAACATTTGCTGTGCAAACTTTCCTCAAAAGGTTTCGTATTTACAAACTCTAAGAGTAACAGAAAGATACCTGTAATAATTAAGGAAAGAACAAGCGACGGTCGTAATAATCATGCAACGGAGAAACTGGCGCCGTTGAAGATGACCAGGAAAACGCCCAGTCTAGGCAAGATGAGGCTGCAAATATTTTCTGTCATCGGTCGGCTTTGTGTCTTGACTCCAGAGTCCTGTCTTCGCTTTAATAAAGGTAGTAGCAGCATGGGTGCCTCTTTGGAAAGTGCGTCACCTGAGCCTGGTATCGGACACTGATGGTGCGGATAGCGGCGCTTTGTGTTTTTCGTATACCCCTCTAGGTCGAGATCATCGCTCTGACAAGATTTATCCCCGCCATTTATCACATCAGTCCCGTTTTCTGCTCCAGGAACAACAAAAAAAGTCAATACTTTTTACTGTTAATGGCAAAATTATGATCATTCTCTTGTAGGCAAGAGTTCTCTGTAAAAAAAAAAATTCTACTTTATTAGAAATTCAATTATCTCAAGATCTCAATTACAAAACTTTTCTCACTAACCAAGGGTTGTGATTACCTTCTTTGCTAATAATAATAACCTGCACAAGTCTAGTAGCGTTCAATTCACGCGCCTGATTGCAAAACCCAATGCTACTCTTCCTTAACATTCATCGAGAGCGAAAGTCGTAGCTCGTTGGGACGTAAATTCGCTCATTTGTACTTGCAACACTCGGCGCAAGATCGCTGGCGTAAAAGGTGCGCTCGCGCCATTCTGAATGTCCGGCGTCCTTTATATCGAGGCGGCAGAAAAGGTAATTTGCAGATTCCAGCGAACAGGTTTCAACCGAACACACAGTCGGGGTGCTAATTTGTCCTGACGCGGAGATAAGAATCTGGCAAAAAGGTTTAACACAAAACGAAGCAATTAAAATGATAATGCGACCAGCATCTTCCTCGAGAGGACATCTTTTATTAGCGGTCTAGCAGAACTCTATGAAGACCATTCGCCAACTTCATGATGGAATTTAAATCGTAAACCAAATACCTAATCTAACAACTAAATTTATATCGGTTGTTTCGAGTCGATAAATCATCTTCACATTTCGCAATCTGTATCTCTTCCAAAATTCTTCATCCCAGATCGTATCAGATCATATCTTAAGGTATAATTATTAATTCTTAGCCATTTTCCTTCCTGGTAGAATCTACATTATAAACAATTTTCTCAAAACTAAGTACATACAGCAATTAAATATCAGTGTTTCAATCACCGAATCTATAAATCATTTCCATGTTCCATAATCAATATATCTTTTAAAATTCTTCGTCGAATATTATCGTGTATTTCTTAAAACACGACTGTTAATTCTTTCAAGAATTATCTCCCACGATTTTCTATTTTTGAACTTCCTCCAGATAGTTCCAAAAGCCATTTGCATATTCAATCGATTCATTCCCAGGATTCTTCAATTTTCCACCGCCGATACGTCACATCCCAGCTTCAAAGGGGTTGTCAGATTTTACCGATTCTCTTCGTCGGTCGAAGAAAGTTCTTCAAGGTTAACCATAAGATAGAACAACGTTTACCTGGCTGACGACGGCGGCGATGCCCCTGTCTTAGAGATCCCGGGTATAATTAAAAACCGAGTAAAACAGACAGAATACGCAGCAGTCGGTAAATCCGCTTGGCAAGAGACACAGAAGGGAGACGATGGTATCTTGAATTTACACCCATCAGCCGCCACCTTGTTCCAGCCACCTTCATCCATCTACTTGCGTGTAACCAGTCGCCGGATCCTTAGACCTCGATGATGGTCCACGATACGCCGTTGCTCGACGCTGTAAAACCCGATGTTCGACAGGAGTTCAGCCATCGGGATACACGTAAATATCCAGCGTGGAACGTGGATCTACCGGTACATCATCCAGCCTCCTTTTCTTTCCACCTGATCGCTGGTATTTGATGGCAAACGCGTTTTTTTCGTTTCTCAAGATCTTTCCCAGCGATCCCTTCCAGCCGCGTTCCTTCTTGTCCATGGATACTTTACGGAGTGTCGCGTGAAAATTGAAATTCAAGATCTGGAAAGGGTCTCCATCTTGGCCCGTGCACCGGTGTGACAAGTTTATTAAAATAGTTGCTCGTTAAAACACCAGGTGGAAGTTGGTACCCAAGGTTTTCTTCCGTTCAAGATCAAAATGTATTTCAGGTTTTGTCCGATCGGTTTAACAGGTTGTTCGGGATTCCTCGGTTAACAACTGGAACAGGGTAAAATAAAAATAACTGAAGACGAACAATTTAAAATTACAGATCACTGTTGCTATTGTATGTCCAAGCGTCAAAATTTAATTTCCTTGAAGTGTAGCCAGATTCTTTTACTTGTTTCAATGAATGATAATACGTCACCACTTAATTAATTGTGAAAATTCTGTGATAATTGATAAAATGATACCTTCAAGAAATACATAATTATATCCGCATTCTGAAAATCTTGACACACGCAACTTTGACTTTCAGCCTATAAATCACATTGCTCTAGGATATTTTCTCATGTCTTGATTGATGCGCAAACAAACAGCAGATTGAAATCACAAGTGAAACAAACAGTAGCAAATTAAAAGGACCGTAAGACGGTAGGGTCGAGGAAGACGCCGGAAGCTAGTGTCACTTTTCCTCCGGAAGTTTCGACGTAGTGGTTTCGCGGTGGCGGCGTGCAGTGGCTTATGGCTGAGGCGACGCTATTTGTCATTAGAAGAGGACGGCACGCCTCATTATCTGAATAATTAAAGCTTATTATATGATGTAGTCGTGCTCGTTATCTAACCGGTTTCGTCGATGCGCGTCGCAGATAAACTTATCTGTCGTGTAGGAGCGCTTGTAACGAATCAATTATATTACTTATGTAAGCGAGCACGCGGGGTTTCACTTATCGTGGCGAAACTGGCGCTGAAATATTTTACGCTGTCCCGATAAGAGACCATTCGCATTAAAATGCGTGGAAAATGCAATCTACAGCGGTCGATCCTTGTCTGTTCGTTGTCTCGTGCCGTTTTATTCAGTTGTCAGCGCTGCTGGATGAAAATGAAAAATTGTCATGATAAACTATCATCTCTGTACAACATCAACAATGTGAATGTGAATGTGAATCATGATTGTATGAAGAATTGAAAACTATGTTCCTTATTCTTCCTTTATTACTATAAAGACTAAGACTAGTATCTCATAATATAGGCTTAAGATGCTAAAGCCTAGATAACTCAAATAACGCTTATCTTATTACGTATTTTTAGATATACTTACTTTGAAAGGTACGAAAAGAGAAAACATTCTGTATTCTCCATACACTCCAGACACTGAAGTCGTTGAAGTATGGGATGCCGTGCTGAATAACAAAATCGTTTATATACAAATTTTCCGTCTATTTTGAAAGGCACATCAGTCATCGTGCCGAGAGATGGTCATCCAAGGATTATCTGGTCGCGGGATTCAGTCCGAAAACCGCGAGCTGCAGTCTAGTGAAACTGTTGGACCGGTTTTTTCCTCCTTCGTCCCCGAGATGATCGTCTGGAGGTATTCAGCCAATTCCCATTTCGCGTCGCCATGCATTTATGCTTGAATACAAAGTGCGAGAGGAGGTTCCCTAAAAAGAAAAAAAAAAAGAAAGAAAGAAAGAAAGAAAGGAAAAAGAGAAGAAGTGAGACAGTGAAGAAACGACGAATCGAAAGAAGGTGGAAAAAGGATAGAAGAAAGGGAAAAGGGAAACCGTTGGATTCTCCGTAAATCTTCCATGCGTGTAACTCTTCTGACGAGGAAGCCACGGCGCTCTCGTTGCGCGGAGCGGCCGGAGTTGTTTATGCTTTCCTGTGCAGCGCTTTCTGAAATATGCAAATCGCGAATTCGCATAATGGCGTTATCGCAGTAGGATGCCGCCGTCGGCGACGACGTCGAGATAGCTGAATCCGAGCGGGTCGAGCTCTTTCTTGACATCAAACGACCACCGCCGGCTCGCCAGCCCCATTGATTTGTCCCTGAAAAGAAACATCTCGGCGGGCTTTTCGTACAGCCGCGATAAATATATGATCTGCGAATCCGCCGAGTGATCGCTATGACTCACAACGATTCGGCCACGAGGAATACCAGGTCGCTCGAAACATAGGGTCGATCGCTCCGGCTCCGTTGCCTGACGATTTTCTGTATTAGCCCTGCTGCCTGCTACATCCTTCGAGTCATTTATTATTCAATCGTGTTATTCTATGTTATAATTTTACAATTATTTAAAATAATTAGTGATGCATTTCATTTTGACTTCTGAACGAAGTAAAAATTTGATGACATTTCTTCCTATTTATCTATCTTCTAATTGAAAACTAAACAGTATCATTATTATTTCAATGATCTGTGCAGAATGAAGTCATAATGAGTTACACTCAATTCAAGTTAGCTCATTTTTAATACTTGTTTCGAACCTGTCGCAACATTTCTTTTTATCTCATTTGCAAATTGCTTCACATATGAATATTGCTGTTCCATAGTGTTGTTAACTCTCTATCTCCAAGTACCTGGAATTCACGTCCTCTCGTAATGATCCAAACTACAGAAAATTATATTGATCCGTGACACGCAAGCCTTAAAATGTCGCGTTTCACTCTCATGTAGTCAGTCTACCGGCGGCAGCGTCGGTGGTCTTGCATTTACAAAACAGCTGAGCGAAATGAATGAATTATTCAGTTTTGTGTAAATTAACTTGATCATCTTTTTACGGATAAAGGAAGATAGTGGTACAAAGAAAATTTCACGAAATAAAAACTGACGATTCATGAAAGAGTAATCGATCATATTAATTACACCACGACTTACTTCTAAACAACAAAGATGTCGATATATCAAATGATGTTTCTCTTATTCCCAGTATCAAACAGAGAAAGAACAAAGATTTGATTTTAAGCGTGATAGCATCATCATCGTACATGATTCATCTATCTCTATTCATCGATACGTCTCTCCACTCATCTACAACAGAAAGGAAGAACCGGTAAAGGGCACCGAATTTCCAGGCAAAAAATAATTGTCCAATTCTGTTCGTAGCTGCTTGAAAAGCAAAAGAGAAGGCAGAAAAAAATGAAAGACACAAACCTGTACTCATTATGCTCGTTCGATTCAAGCGGTTAGACCCGACTCATTTATTTCAGGCGACGCAGAAACAGGAAAGACCGAAGCAGAAAGAGAGATTGGCGAAGCATCAGGAAGGAAGAAGGAGCGACGCGCACTGAAATGTATCCGCGGTTTATTATTATTTTATTCGGATGTTCTCCGCCGCGTTATACCCCATAACCCACCCTCTACGCTACACCTTTTCCTGTACCACCGTCGCAACGCCTCCCCCTCCCCTACCATAGAACCACCACCATACTTCTGATTCTCTCCCACCGCGAGGAGAGACCACCCCTCAGTGTTCTACGCTCGCTTCATGGCAGTCAAGTCGTAATCCCCCTTCGCAAAGTCCTTAACAGGCAGGGCAGGGCCCAGCCAAGTACGCGACAGGGACGTTAAAATTTAAGGTTTCCGTCGACACGTTGCGACCCATAAATTTCCTCGCTCGAAACCGCCGCTCTTTCCTTCGGCTACGCTTGACAAATTACACCAGCAGCATCCCCGCGAAAAATCCACTGGAAATTGCTTTGCCACTTGCCTTCTTCGAGATCGACCGAAAGAACAAGGTATATGTCTATTGGAAGTGAATAATCAATTGATTAGATCACTAATAATCAAAGACAAATGACAAGAATCATAATGATGTAAATCTAACTAAGATTTTGCTATATATCTTTTTATTCTCTTTGGCAGCGTATTTATGATCTAAGAAGACATAATTGAATTTTTGTAACAATTAAATTCCATTTTATGAAAAGGTATTACTCTAGCAGTGGGTTGACTTACATCATTATAATACTATTGGTTTTCAAACTGATAGAAAATTAAAAAAGTATAGATATGAATATCATTTGATATTCGATGTGAAAAATTCTACTGAGTTACATAGATATCTGAGTTTCACTTTTTGCTTCCTTAATTAATCAAACACTCTGAAATACAATAAAATCATTTTTTAAATGATTGTAGCAAGTACATAAGATTGATGTACAAGAGTAAAACAGCTGAATATAACGATACATACCTGCTTCTGAAGAATTTACAATTAATACTATCTTTTTTTAAATTTTCAATAATCTTCAATGATCAACTTATCCTATCTTAGAGAATAGTTGTTAATTGCTGAACTACTGTATTATCTTAAAGATACATCTATAAAAAAAAAACGTTATATTTCGCACAATCAACTTTGTCTAGTGAGAAGTTCGCTAATAAAATTAAAAAATCGACTTTTAGTCAATTTCCAAATGCAAATCGATTTCATTGTAAATCGATTGAAATTCGATCGTATCGGTGGCGCTTTCTGTCATCGGTACTACCCTACCTGCCAATTTTGTTAGGTTATGTTATTCGAATGACAGAAACATGTAATATAAATCGCATTTTAGAATAATAGGTAATTGTACAAGTTAAAGAAGGAAATTTGGAAAGGTATTCTAGTTGTTTCTCATACTCGATGTATATTGAGTTCGCGAATGTCTAGACGTTGAATTTATATTCAAATAGTGTCTTCACTGGGATATAAATATTTCAGAAAGTAACTTTAAAAAGATGCAAAAGTTTGATTGTATCTTTTTATAGAGTTCTCTCTACATCTCTATCTTTTTATAGAGTTCATCATACGATATATTTTATGATCAAAATGATTCAGTGACAATTAATGAAATTTCATTTTTCTTTTCATTTTTAGTCCTGTCATAATTTCTTTAACATTTATAATAGAAATTAATGCTCTCTTACCTAACTGACGTAATGCTGTGATATATATGTGACGTAATATCGTAATATTGTAATAAATGTTTGAATTGCTTTTATTTTTATAAAATGTGTCCAGTAGTTCACTCGGAAATGTCGTATTTCGCTAACAAAGCTGTCATTGGTCAATCCAGATCCTGAACTCTATTATGAAAAATGATGCGCTCTATTATTGCGAAATCGTATTATGAGAAAAATTTAGGAAAAGCTTTACAAAACAAAATTTATTAACAATTCAATCGAGAACTAGAATAATTGAAATCTCTTTGAAGTTTCGGATATTAAATTTTGGATTTTAAATAGCAATAGGTGGCGCTAGCAGTTATTCGTTTGTTAACCGCCAAAATTGTAGTTCCGGTTATAACGGTCGATTTAACCGTCATAATTCCTGCTAAATTACGGTTTAATTGTGTCTATAATTAAAAATTGGACGTAAATTAAGGCAGTCTAGGCAAATTGTTGGTGAAAAAGTATTCGTATTTAAAACGTAACGCATTTTGACAATATTTTTTTCCGTTATTGCTAAAAAAAGAATAAATTGTTTTCTGGCTAATGCGAGACATCTTCGAATCAACATTAGAACACTAAATTGAAGGTATTTTAAATTATTTTATCTATTATATTTTCCTTTAACAAAATTTGCGATATTTTTTGTTAGTTTTTCAAATATTTTCATCATAAAATATGCAATTTTTATTTCATAACACATAAATATACAAATATTGTGTATTCGTGGCAATCCAAAGAATTCTACAATAATTTGTATAATTCTTTATACCGAAAACGTTTGAAGATTTTATAAAAATTGAATTTAACAGAAATTTATCTTTTATTTAAAAAAAAAAATCTAAAGCGACAAGTGCTGCCATCTATTACTCTCTCATTAAATATAAGAAACCATCCAGTGAGTTATCAATTACCGACAGTTGATAACTAATCTATTTCAAAATTTAAAAAAATAAAAAATTTCGAATATTTCGAACATTTGAACTTAAACATGTGCAATCATTTCAAATATAATATAAATATAAATTATCAAATTTTTAACGAATACACATATGCTGAATTATTGGAAAATAGAAAAATATCAACTCATATTCTCAACCATTTATTTTTCTCTTTTTTTTTCTCTGTATTACTAGAATGTTAAACAAAACCATTTGTTCCCCAGTCGCATAAATTTCAGCACGGAAAATAGTTTGGAGATGTCACAACTAACAAGTAGATACCAAAGACTTATAAAGAAACAATTTCACAATTTCTGTAGATCGAAAATTTTGAGCAAACGTCGGGACGAATTTTTGACAGTGTCAGAACGTGACAAACAGTCTATCGATATGCGTGTGTCTCGCTTCATACAAAAAATTACCGTCCTCCTTTCAACAAATCGTGCAATGTAAAGAACAATGTGCGCGTTGCCCAGTCTCCTCCTTCAAATACATATCTTGTTCTCGGCATTAATACATTTATTGCTGTTACGAATACAACAATCTTCGTCATGTAGTTTTGGAATACAGATTTCTCGAAAGAAATTCTCAAGTTTCATTGTACTTTATAGATCCGTTGGAATGAAATTTGACAACACATTGCTGATCAATCACGTCACATGAATCAGTTTGAAAACATTCCAATTCAAATTTAACGCGACACCAATGTTGAAACTTAAACATATATATATATATATATATATATATATATATATAATACAGATTATATATATATATATATATAATACAGATTTCTAGCAGATCTAATACTTTTCACAAGAATCACTACATGTGACGAGTTTGTAATTAGCACAGTGTTTCCATTCGAAGATCACAGAGAGATCTAGCGAATCCAGTTGAAAAAATAAATGAGAATTTCTATTCGAAAATCTTCTCCCAAGAAAATATTCTCACGCAATAAAATCGTTTCACGCTTAACCTTTTAGGCACGATGCGCCACTATAGTGGCTTTCCGTCACATTGCAGTGCTGTATTGTTTACATGTAATTCGAGTCAAACTCTGCCATACAGAGAAACAGTCCGCACAAAATTCAGCCATGCCTAAGAGGTTAACGTTAATTTATCACGAGGCCTAGCGAATTCCTTTTTTTTTTGTGATTCGTGATTTTTTTTATTCTCTCCCGTAACAAAGTAGTATACGAAATATGCTCTGATCCTATCGTGTACGCCATTTATCGGAGTGAAGAAAAATAATTTGCAAGGGGTTAAGATTTGTAAATGCTCCTCGTGTCCCCCAATTCGTGTCGAACAAAAGGAGCATAACAATTTACAGCAACTATAAAAATAATGTGTTTACCATTCTAAAGGTCTTGTCTTCTTCTTCTTTTTCTCCATCTCCATCTTGATCTTTCTTTTTTTTCTTTTTTTTTTTTTTTTTTTTACAGAAGTTTACAGAGTTCCTTTTGTGCCCGTCGCGTGTCTATAAAGTTTCCTATTTGTGTACTACGGTATTCATAAGTAAGCAACGATAACGAGACTAATACTGTTTGCTGAAAATCGTACTACGAGCGCCTTTCGCCGTTTTACATATGCGCGTGAGTATTCATACGTGATTATTCGGTCGACCATTATTTCTTACACAGGTGTGTCTCTAAATATACTGCGACATGCGCGGGTAATATTTAAAACTTTGAAACATTCGATCCAACCTCATTTTTGTTTTAATCAGTTCGTTCTGAAAAATTTAAATTCGCATTTAAATGGTTTAAACAGAGAATTCAATTGATCAAAGACATTATTATCAATTAATTAATCAAGTCTTCACTTGCAACTACCAAACAATTTACTCGAATGTTTCAACAGTGTACATCGTATCCCTCATTTAAACATTTAAATCGAACATTGTCTTCGATGCTCGCATGTTTTTCACACACATCCATTTTTTTTTTTTTTTTTTAATTATGATATATTCATTTTCGAAATACATGTTTTACAATATATTGGAAATGCATTGAAAATGGAATATGTGAAAAATCTTTGCCATTATTTTTTTTTTTTTTGTTATTTCTGCTTTCGTTAATATGTCGTCATAGTTTAATGCTGCGAGTAATTTTTCTTTCTTCTTATACATTAAAGAGTAAGAGAAATGGGGTTCCTTTATTTTAGTAACATTTCCTCACTTCACTTCCACTTGAAATTTTTCAACTATAGATAGCTTCAAAACATTTTTTATCACAGATAATAAATATTTATTTGGTGTAATGAATCGAAGTGCTTTTAATAACAGCGTTTGAATAAACAAAAATGGTTTTTCAAAATAAAAAAAAGCAACGTTTTAATACATAGCCAATTGTATGAGTTAAAAAAGTAAACGGTAAAGAAGTATAAGTAACAAAATAAATAAATTTTTGCATGCAGCATAAAGTGCAGACATCTTACTAACTTGTGTAGAAAATATTAACCGTGCTTCTTTGTTTTTCTTCTTCGTGACATTTGAAATTCAATTGCAAATCATTTAAATCCTGTAATGTGCTGTCCGCTCTACCTCGATTAAATTAGGGAACATTTTGCTTATAATTAGAATGTAATAGAATAGAAATACAACTTTTTTTTTTAATAGTATCAAAAGAACCTTCGTCTCTACATTATCAATATAAAGCTTTTTACTGTTAAATACACGTTCTGTAAACAGTGTTTTGAACATGACAAATGTTGGAATATATATATACAAAACTATATGTACATTCTTTTATATTATACACATCATACTATTCATCACTTATACCTTTGTCAACATATGTATGAGTGTGTTGTGTAACGTGTGGATTACTCAAGTTAAATAAAAAGTAATTTTGCAATTTACAAATTAAAGACAAATAGAAAGTATAAATAACAACGTCGAGAACATAAGAAAAGAAAGTATTTAATATCATATCGGTGAAATTATATTTGCTATGGGAATAACAAAGATATAACTAACGAATCCAAAATTTATACATGTTGATAATTTGTACATGCACATCACCATCATATATATGCGAATAATATTTTACAGTATGATGTACATATATATCCGGTAAAGAATATCATTTTTTTACACTCTATTCTACAAAACTGATTCTACAATAATGCTTATAACTTCTTCGATATAATCCCATATTTCCATAAAGAATAAAGAACTGGAGATGCACCGATTCAGACTTTTTGTTCAGTGCCCTTGGGAACACCATTCAAAAATTGTTGAAACACGATCGGTGCGTTTACGGACCATCACTCTTCTCAAAAGCACGCGGTTAATTCTATCGATTCTGAATGCATCAAATACGATTCTGGATGGAATGCTTTCGTTAGTCTTATAATTACATAAACTCCCGCTTATGTGAACCACAAGACAAGATCTTGCAGGAATGCGAACCTTTTTTGTACGAGTTCGTCTGGATGGCATCTCCCTCTGCCATCCAAAATGTTTCAAACTCACGTAGACTGATCATGGGACTCCCTATAATACTGGACATCAAACTGTTAATAATACTTTTTTTTTCTCTCGCGCGTCAAAACACATTTAATTAAAAAAAAAGAAAAAAATAATCGCTTCGCGATGATTATTTATTATTGTGAACGTTAAAAAAGAAATAAGAGTGAGAACTAAACAACTTAAATTACCAGATCTTCGATTAAGCGTAAAAAAAAAAAAAATGAGATTAGTAAAGATCCGTTTCATTACGAACGTAATACGTTACTTTGTTAGTGTGGAAACTTCACAAAGCTGTACTCTCTATTGGCGATGCAGCCCGATTAGGAGTGCAACATCGTTCGGGTGTGTGGCACAAATCCGGTGTGTGCCTGCCGTCTCTTAATTGAACTAAATCTAAGTCTGCGAAGAAGTTACTCCTCATGGTGCCAACCGCGCTGTCAGAACCAAAACTATCCTGCCTGCATAGATCCACATTCTTGTAACATCCGGTGTAATCCGTTAAAGAGTTAGGCAATTTTTCATCGTACATCGACGTTGTTTCGAGTACTGGTTTCTTAGAGTCGTTCGTTTCGAAATTCGTACAATCTTGGCCGGACGTGGTGCAATCATTTTTGTTATCTACATTAATGTCATTTCGTGCGTTGTACGTGAGAAAATCGTCGTTCTTGGAAAGACTCGAATTCGAATAGAGGCTGTCTGCATAATGAAGCGTAGTATTGTTTCTGAAACTGGCTCCTTTACGTAGATCCTCCTTCTGCAAGGTGTTAAAAGGCGAATAATCTTTGTACATCTTATCTTTGTGTTTGGCCGTGCAGTCCAATACTGTGAGACTTCCTTGCCTAGACAATATACTACCGATATCCGAAACGTTACTTTCCTGCCTGATTACCTTGTTGTTGCCAGGTTCGTCCTCGCTAACTTCTCCGGGCATTACGCTTACTTTCGATCGCAACGAAATACCAGCTTCCGATTGACTGTTCTTTTGCGGGGAAAATGCATTCTTTGGCGTCTCTTTTGTAGGAGAAATCTTCGTCCTTCTCAAATAAGAGCCTGTGGATGATTTCGAAGTCTCACAAAAGCACGGGCTCGCTCTACCCACGTACCGTATCTTTTCGATCGTAGGTATCCGTTTTAAATTCGATTCCACTTCGTTCTTCACGTGCGAATTCTGTTTGTCGTTCGAAAAGTGGGCAGGCGATTCGATCGACCTGACACTTTGCCTTGGAAAGCAGCCGGTAAATCCACTAGAGTCTGGAGAAATAACAATGTCCGGTTTGTCGATGGATGCTTCCTTGGACCTCGAGTTCTGTCTGGAATAACGACCCGAACTCCCGGAAGATTCGCTCGTTTTACTGTTCTGTCTTGCATATCTTCCTCGAGGGCTTATCACGTCAGGCACTTGAAGGATATTACTAGCAGGCACAGTTTCTTCACGTTCCAGCGTGCTGTCGTCACAACCACTGCACCGTTTTTTCTCCTGATGTACTTGACCTTCTTTAATGGGCTTCAATTGCGGCGCCAGAGTCTCTGGAGTCGTGGACTCACTCGTACTCGTGCTCGGTCCCGTATAATTTCTAATATCGAACTCCAAATCTGATGGTAATTCTGCACCCACCGATAAATGCTTTGCTAATGCTTTCAGCCATAACTGCATCACTTCGAAAGGTGGTCTCTTGTCAGGATTTAGATCGCAGCAAAGAAAGGCAATCATATAGAACATCTCTGGACAATTGGAACAAAATTTTTCTTTAAATACGTTCTGATTCAAACCAAAATCTGACGATCGTGGCAAATAGTCGGGATCCGCTTGAACCCGACCAATGATCTCGCAAACGACAATACCAAAACTAAATATATCAACTTTCTCGTCGTACTTATTACCCTTCATCATTTCAGGTGCCATCCAATACGGATTTCCAACTACCGTGTACCTTTTCTTTCGCTCTTTCTTCGATGTTTTTGCCTCTCCGTCGGAATGTCTGCTATATTTGCGATTATGGGGAGAATTACCGTTCTGTATTATCCTCGCTAGGCCAAAATCAGCCACGACTACAGTCTTATCCTCGCGTACGAGACAATTATGCGAGTTCAAGTCTCGGTGAATGATATTCATGGAATGTAAGTAAGCCATACCAGCGGCTATATCTTTAGCAAATAACGTTCGTTGCTCCCAAGGTAAGATTTCATTCGTATCGTGAAGAAAAGCTCTTAGAGTTCCACCCGCTATGTATTCGGTGACTAAATGAAGCTTTTTATCTTTGTATAGAACACCGATGAATCGGAGAACGTTATTATGATGTAAAGAACGTAATACCGCAACCTATTAAATTTGTATAAAATATTAATATAGGGAAACTAGTAACAATAAAATGATCGGCTTACCTCTTTCAAAAAATTTTTTTGCGCCTCCTCGTCTACTCTGTACAACTCTTTTAGCACCATCACTTCATTGGTATCTCTGTGTGTGACTTTAAACACCTGCCCGAAAAATCCTGTACCCAGCAGTTCACCTTTTACTAGATCACTGGCACGGAATATTCTTTGATTCTTTGGTTCGACACGAAACGATCTAGTCCTGCTTAAGTCACATGTAGGATTTGTAGTTGAAGATCTGTGAATACATTATAAAAAGTGCAGATTAAAATACAGGTATGTTCAATTATCGGCATTATGAAAACATTCTTTTTGGAACTTGAGCTCTACCCATCAAGCAATCGCGACATGGAACTACTACGCTCTTTGTGCATAGGATCCCTGGTTCTTCTCAATTGTCTGCTGCGCGTTCCACTGATGTAACCTTCATCTCGGCGTTTAAATAAACGTTCTTTATTTTCGGGACTTGTTCTTGGACTGGCAATCGATGTCAACATAGCCGCAGACGGCGATGAATATGTGAGTCTTCGAGACACTGCGTCCGGATCGTGCTCAATGGTTAGCTGCAATGTTCAATGCATTTGTTTTCATTATTATTTTTTAAACAGAGAGCAATGTTAAAAACTCTTGTTGTAGGATAAAATTTACCTGTACAACTGTGTCAGAATATTGTATTAGATTTTCAATATTCTCTATAGGCTGATCCTTAACTGGAGTACCATTTACTTCGAGTATGCGGTCACCAATGTGCAAAGATATGAGATCACTGGACATATTCAGTCTGTAACATATTTCACATTACATCTCCAATGTTCATAAATACAACATCATACATACATCTTTTAAACAAAACATGCAAAACTTTGCGTGCATTTAAATCGTAATTGATTTAAAGATTAGAAGTGAAATTGACTAGCAAAACTAATTTGCATGTTTATTTGTAATCCAACGCAAGTTTTGTTTTCTTTTCTTTTTAATTATGAGAAACATATAAGATACAGAACATAAGAAATATAAAATATAGAAACATGGAAGAAACAAGACATATTTGCTATGAAAATCATTAAAATAAATATAAAAATATTAAAATTGAAAATCATATTAATAGAGTGATATATATGTAGCAACTATTTTAAGTGCTCCTAATTGTATTAAACTTATACTTCATCCTAAATGTTATATGCTCATATATTTATACAGCACAAATAGAGCGAACAAATATTATAATACACACGAAAAAATCATTTTGCACAAAATACATTTTGCGTGCAGTTAAATAGCAGAAACTAAAAGACACACATCTAACTTGTAACAACACAATATCTAGTGCATATTATTTATTTGTTATGCTGTACCTATGATTAGAGAAGTGGCAGCATAGTCTAAACAGAACCTCCATCACAGAGGCCAGCAGCTTACTGATTTTTCCACGAACATTTCTCATTAACCTGTATTTTAGTTCAAAGTTATTAGAGGCTGCTCATCTTTTATTTTATTTATTATTTTATTTATTTGTTTTTAAAAAACGACATTCATGCATAGCGTTAAATATCATAAAAAGCTACAATGATATAACTCCAATGGTAATTTATTTTAGAAGTGAATATTTCCTATTTTCTCTTGTTTTGCACGTTTGTTTTATATTAAATTATAAAAAGTTGCCAACATTATTTTATAGCTCTGTATTTTATTTTTAAACTTTTAACTACTGAATAAAAACAAATATATATCGCTATACATACTCGGATATACGAAGTAAAGCACCACAATTTCGAGGACTAGGAGTTGTGTCTAATGTTAATTTAATTCCTCTCTGTTTTTCAGGATCAGAAGTATTTGGAGGTATTTCAACCAATCTAATGCTATGTGGCTTTCTTGTGAAGGGACAATTAGCTGTCCTGTTGATCGGCTGCATTTGCCTCTTGTAACAACTTCCACAATATAATTTGGATCTCTCGACCAATGCATAACTCTCTCCATCTCCAATGAAGGCTCCACAAGAATTACAGGCAAAACATTCTGGGTGAAATTTGTGATCTCCTGCCAACATGACAGGACCCGTAATGATTTGGCCACAACCTTGACAAGCTTCACCATAGGCAGCCCAATAATCATCCTTACAGAAAAGTAAGCCATCTTTCTCAAAGTACCATGTGGACAGACCAATATCACATGCTGAACACCTAGAGCGTAATAATTTTGCAATGACATGTTCTTATTAATATTACAATTAAATTACAGTGGCTAAAAAAAGGATTATCCAATGAAATGTTTTCTTTACTTCATTACTATATTTCATTATTTGGATCAAATCAATACTTTATATACTTTTTATAACCACTGTATCTTTATTTTACTTGTTTTTACCGAAAACAATCAATGTGCCATTCTTGATTTAGTGCCTGTATGAATTCATCTTCATCTATTGCATTGAGACATCCAGCACATATCAATGTCCCGCCACTTTCCCCACTTCCAAGGTCTGAAAAATATCATCAATTTAATTATCAAATTAATTTTCTTGCTATAATGATTTTTAACACTAGAATTACAAAATGCATTGATCCCAGGTTTTCTGTTTATATTAAATTATTAAATACATAAATATAGATATCTTTGATACTTCATTGTAAAGATTAATATTGGTTTTTAAAACAGAATCATGATTATCTGTATATCTATTTATCTAATGATAATCATTTCTGTGCAATACGTTATGCAATAAATATTAAAAACTAGGTAGTTCTAATCTTAAATATCTTATTTGTATCGTATTATTTACACTAGTAATAATATTTTTATTTACACTAGTAATAATATTATTTACACTAGTAGTAATGGTACGTGCGTTTTTGTAAGACTTTCATAGGAACGCGACACACCAGCGACAAAATTTTTTCTCGGACATTAAATGACGAATGATTGGAAGTTGCTGCGGTTATGAAAACAAACACAGCGCAGTCAGACGGAAAACAGAACGCGTCAGGGACGTGTAGTAGGAAGGAAACGTGATTCACGGTTGACATTAGCGTTGGGAAAGTGGTTATCAACCAGCTGACAATAAATCAGCCAATTGCAGTGCGACCGAGGCTTGTCAATGAGAAAAAAGCATCACCAAAATTGTAAAATGCTCGTCGGAGCATTGTCCCCCTCGTTAATATACAATCGAGAAGATGCAGTCGAAACGAATGCGTAAATAAAGGTTCTGGAAGAGCGTGGGCCAACAGACTTGGAAGACAGGACGCCCACGCGATCCATGAAGGATACAGCGTACACAGGAGATCATCGATCAATTCGTTTGTCGCGCTGTACTATTTGAAACGTTGCATATAGCACACTACAAATTCGGCCGGTTCGTCTAAAAATAACACTCTAACTTTGCTGAAAAAGACGTACCGTTCGATGAAACTTCATCCATCACAGCATCTAGAACTGACACACTCCCACTCCGCACTTTGGTCGCTGAACATGAAACGAGCAGATTCGAAATCCACTCTCGACATTATGGGCATTGCATAATGGCGCGAAATTTAAGAATCATACAGAAAGTACTCAACTTTAAAGCTTTAAAAGACTTAAAAAAGACTTTTGCTTATCTATATTTAAAATATTTAAAAATTTCATTGTCATTGCAGTGAATGATTATAGGCTTGACTGTGCCTCATTTGAGCTACAATTCAACGCATTTTTGTGTTGCGTGTCGAGTCTATCTTGTTCTTAAGTAATCACAGGCGGCGCTAAAACCTTTCTACCATTTAAGTATCATTTCCAACATTACCGATTCAGCGTGGAATATGATTACAACATTGGTAGTGGTTGAAATTGGAATTAAATTGAAATGTAAAATTATTTTAAAAATTAGAATAGCATTTAGATGCGAAAAAACATTATATATTTTGTTACACGTTGAAAAGGATCGGAAACTTTTATAATTAATTCTAATTAATTCCAAGAATTAATAAAAAACGCTTATCTAATGAAGTTTTTCATTCTATTAGGGATACTCTACGAAATTCGAAATAATGTCACTTTGATTGAACCTCGCATGACGGACTGTTTATGATTGCATGGTCTTCAATTAACTTGACAACAACGGATCGTTCCTCGAATAACTTCCGCATCGGTCAGTAATTTTTTCGATAAAGGACGATGGTCAGCATTTTTTCAAAATCAATGCTTATTGAAGAATAAAAGAAGAAGTAAGGTAAAGAGGTAGTTGTTTATTTTTCACAATATTCTTGGTCTTTGATTTAACTCAAATCAATACAGATGCAGTTTATAACATCTCAAATATATCTTAAACTAGTTTTCGATAACTTATGAAAGTATATAATTATATAGTGCCATTCAAAGTTTTGCAAGATTTCCAAGATAAATATAATTATAGAGCATCGTGCAAAATTAATATTATTTCCTTTATGATATGTAATATACGTATTCTTTGGGAGATATAATATGTATATATAAGTAATGTAATATAAGCAATTATTGTGTGCACAGATTAAAAACTAATATATCGTGATATTATACGTACTAATTAAAAACTAATTAAAAATTGTACTTACTAATTAAAACTACTCCATACATATCCATCTCACATTCACCGGTACAGTTTAATCTCGAAAATTCAGTTTGTTCAAAAATAAATTTCAGATGACAAAATTCTTCTCAAATGGTACAATCAATCCATAACTGGGTTTGGACATTTTGACGAATGTGTATTTTTAAAGAAAGACAAGTAAAGAAATAACAAATAGAAGTTTGTTTCATTCACTAAATATTATGTCTATTTTATGAATATTTTATTTTCCATGAACAAACTGATTTTTTTATTATTAAATGCTTTAAAATAGTAACTTGAACCATCAATTCTAATTATGAAATTTATTAATACTGCTATTAATATGAAAGTTATTGATTTAATATTGAATGTTGCAAAACTTAGCTTTCTATTTGTAAGAATAATATAATAAGAACAAGATTTAACAATTTAACTGTATCAATTTAACTATTCATCTTTGGAATTGACATGTTTCAAGTTTTATTTTACTTTGCTTCGAATTTGTAGATTCTACCGTACCGTTAGTCAATCGAAGGTCTTCAGGAAATGAAATGTCACCGAAGTATTCTCAATATGACATCAATATAATACGCTCAATCGATTGCACGCTTTCCCGGCTGACCTTCTCGAAATATTTACAAAGTCCGGATAATTTTTGATCGTCCAGCGAAAACTTCCGGTTCTCTCCAGGTCTCATCGATTATTTGGGCACGAGTAACCACAAATAATGGACGGTTGCTTATAACATACCTCTATACAAGTAAAACTGTACAATATGTTTATGTCTGTATAATTTCAATCACAGTAAAGATTGTGCAGGGTCGTTGTCATTCTGTTTCTTTCTCCTTTTTTCAAATGCTGCTCAAAATAATTCGTATTCTTTCCTTTTTGGAGTAAAATATTAAGTGAAGCCAAGAGATGAAAGTGTTCTTCAAATTATTTTGAGCAGTTCGAGACTAATCTTCCATGAATTCCAATGTTAATATTATCTTTCGTAAGATACACAAACGACCTTAAAAATATCTTGAATCAAATAGAGATTTGTTAAATGCAAAATCTAAACTGTCAAAGAGGATAGAAAAATCGTAAATATGGAATTCATTGGTACGCTGTGAACCCATCCAGTTGATACAGTAGCAACAATAACGATTTCTTATTTCAGAAACGAATGTAACATACTTCAAATAATATTTTCCTGGAATTTTTATTCGTGGCGCCATTTTGGCGGAAGTGATATGCAATAAATTGTGACATTTTCAATAAATTTTTTTTCAATTACTTCCGCATCAACTAGATGGAAAATCGTAATCTAGGAAAGAACTGATGCCACACTTTCTCATGCAGTTGCATGCATTTGAGCGACAGTAATGGCGGTAAATGATATGCAAGAGACCCGAACCTTGTTTCGGCAAAACCTTCCTTTATCGCATTTAATCAAGCAATAATTTTTCAATAATTATTTTTCTTCTCTAATCTTTAATTTAAATTTACCAAAAAAGCAGATTTCCCTCGATTTTGTACTATGATTAATAACTTTCGCTTTCGCTTTCACTTTTTATGAAGGTTGTCACCTAAACTGTTACCTTTAAAGCTGCAAAAACGTTAAAAGAGTAATATTGAGCAGTAGAGTTGTACATTGTTTCGTTAGTAATATAAATTCGATTTAATTGTAATACGATGCATTTAGTCTTTTTTTTTTTTTTTCAAATTTCGTGTCAATTTTTTTTTCAACGGCTTTCTAAATATTGCACAACTTTTTCTTCGCGCGCTTCATTTTATAATCGCGAAACAAAAGATAAAATAAATTTTCGTGGGAACACACGTTAACCTCGCACACACTGCAAACCGAGCTACAAGGACGACAGGTGTTAACATTTGCATAGCCGTTTCTCCTGGCCAATGTGAGCCTATGGATTCCTTTCATTACCTTCTAATTTAGCTTCTTATTATCAAAAATTTTTGTAGTTTCTATTAAGTAAGCTAAAATGATATCGATTTAGTTAAGAAGTAAAATTTCGAAAGAGATTCTTACTCTTTTATAAAAATTAAAACTGAGAATGTTGTAGGAAAATTGGTCGGAGTAATGAAGAACTTCCCTTGAGCAAACGTCAACAAGAAAAAAATGGCATTCCAAGAGGAACAGCGACCTGTAACAATATAAATTCATGAATAACCGTGAAAGAAGATTGTTGCTCGATTCCCAGACAAATCGGTTTAACATGAAAGAAAGAGAAGGGGTGCACGAGGAACGCGACTGAAGCGCGTACAATAATCCCGCTCATTAAAACTCTGTTAACTGGCATCGCTTTAAAGGTTGTCTGGTCCGTTTGGTTCCTTCTTGCGTTTCCGCAATAGCTAGTTTATGTTCAAAGGCATTAGCGGCACATATTTGTCGCTTGGTCGGAATTTGTACTGGGAGCACAACCGGTTGGATACTGATTCCGAGTAACCATTTCTGTAACAGATCGACCACATAACAATTACATTGGTTACGATACAATTGTTTCATTGAAACTTTTACAAAAAAAAAAAGAGAAACTTAGAATTTAAAAAGATTCATTCCATTAGAATTAATTTTGCGGAGGATGTGTTAAAGGAAGCATTGTTGGCCACCACCATGATTGTAATTCCCATTACCAACTGATAAGATAACTGTAAGAATAAAGTAACAGAATTACATTTACAATTGGTGGACATATCATGTAGCCATGAAGATAGAAGTTGTTTCTTCTTGAGAACGTCACGCATCACCTGAAGCAACGTTTTGAAGAGAAGGATCTTGTTGGTGTAATAATCCCGTGACAAATTAGTAGACCATGGCGAATTAATAAACTCGTACCGTGTCGAATTCATCCAAATCTGGGGACAACTAAGGAGGGTCGTTCACGCAATCGTTACGAGCGTGTTTAATCATTGATCACTTCGAGAGAGTCGTTTTAACGTCTATATTTTTGATGATGTATTCATTGTCGCAGAAAAAATTTTGGATTGGAAAAGGTACTATAAACTCATTACTTTCTTCCTAAAATATCAATTTTATCAATATTTTTGGTACCCACCTCTGCCATTGCGAACACGGACGCCTCTCCTTGAAGCAAGTCACTTGTATCACGTTGAAGAAAAGAGCACCGAGAGTGTTCGCCACTTCTGAATTAATCTTCTGCAAACATCTACGGAACTTGGCATCGCAGTCGCAGTGAGACCGTGTGACTGGCGAATTGTTACATATACCATTAATGCACTCCTTAGGCGACACTGTGATTGGACAGTGATCGTGTTCTCTACAGCAAGCGTCTTCGGCTGCATGATGACCAAGATCGTCGTACGATTTTGCCAAAGTGCCTGGTCCACACCATTTTGTGCCTGGATAGATCAGTCCACCACCTGGAGGCTGATTCTAATGTAACATACAGACATATTCTATAATATTTTACAATTCCTTAAGCCGTGGATTCTCTTACAAAATAATTTTTAAATTAGTAATATTGGTGCATTGACAAATGATGAGGATATACATCCCCGTTACATAAGTAGATTTAGAATTAGAATAAAATTAAAATTAGAATTAGAATTAGAATAAAATTAGAATTAGAATTAGAATTAGAATAAGAATAAAATTAAAATTAGAATTAGAATTAGAATTAGAATAAAGATTTACAAATAGTAATAAATGCGCATTATTCTCTATCTTTATTTTATTAAGAGAATTGAAATAAAATAAATATTATGAGAGTTTGTAGATGTGTAAATTTACACATAAAGGACAGTAACAAATTTTTAGCATTACTGCTTCTATTTACTGTTACGACTATCTGTATATGAGGTCATAATCAATTCATTGAAGAGATCAATCGATACCTTTCCCTTATCACGGGAAGCTTTACACGTTTCCTCCAAGTCTGCTACGAGGTTTGCTGACATTTGTCGGACTTTTTTCGGATCGGCTCCAAGGACCATTCTCTGAATAACGCCACGATCGGTGTACAATGTACAAAAGGGTGCGTCAGGGTTTAATTCAACCATTCTGGACATTGTCATGTCTGCTACAAGAACACTAGCGTCGGTTTCATCCCCCCAGAGCGCTGGTATTAATAACAAAAACACTGCAAGCATCTATATACAAAAACAAAAAAAGGAATAATTCAAATTAATTAATCTGTTCAATTTATTCCAGAAAATATCAAACAAAAATCATTTTCCAGCTGAGTCAAACTTCCTGTTATCTTATATCTCGTATCATGTTGTTTCGCAAGGATCCTATTCAAATATTTATATCATTATTCGTGATATCACAGAAATCTGATATCTTGAATTATTTTAACATCACAAGGATAAGATAAATAGTTTATTAAACGTATTCATTGTCTCGAAGGTAATGTATGACATCACCAATTGAAAACAGATTCTGCTTTCACCGTAGGTGTTTCATTTCTATTATTTCTCAGCGATCACTATACGTAATTCTTAATGGAAAAAAGTTCTCGTCCATCAATTTGTTCTTTTATTCTTAAATTATTTGAATTTGCACTCGATGAACGTTATCAACGAGGGCAGTGGGACAACGATCAGCAAATGTTTCTCAACTTTGCAGTGACTATGCATATGTATATGGAATATACAAATACTAATATCATTACAACCGCATTTCGTCCTCAGTTTCACTTAAGTACACAGTGTTAATATTCATGCAAATCCTAAGTAGCTTTTATACCATATAAGTATGAATGACATTTAGATTATTTAATATCGTGAAATATTCTAATTAAATTATCTAGTATGATAGACTGGTATTTTTCATATATTTATTTCAAAAGCTGATTATTCCAAATATTCAAAACCTGAATTTTTTGTAATATTTTTGCGTTAGTTGTATAGGATCTAAATTAAATGTTAAATATTAATTGAATTTTACTGCAATTAATTAGTTTCCAAGAAGTATCAATATCCCAAGAAATTACATTGGATAAGATGAACAATATTATAAGAACAGAATATACTGACACATATTTATAATAATTTATCTCTTCCTATATTTTTCGTTAAAAAGGTTTAAAGATTTTATGGATACCCACATGTTTCACCACTAATGTATTTCACTCTACAATGGATGAGGACTGGAAAATCCTCCAATTATGACGACGCACATTTAATGGAAACTGATTGCGTTACGTAGACAGAACAACGTGACGTTTTTCTTTCTTAATTCGTCATTAATCGTTGCTCGTTGAAGTGACCGTTCGAATAGATTGACCTGCAGGAATTCCGGTCGCTTTAACGAGCAAGTTGGGGGGTAGATCAATTAAACGTCATGAAACGATGTGCTCCTTTGCCAATCGTAGCTGTCGTGTCCATGACAAGGATTTACTTTCAGTCTTCTTCTTTATCGAATGCTCACGATCAACGTTTCTCTCCTTGATATATTGACCAACATTCTATTTCGTTCATTCTATTGTAGTTTATCCGTTCAACATATCAAGATGTAGCAATCTCATAAAAATTCATAACAGCATTCTCAGCAACTCAGAAAAGCATTCGAATACTTGTAAAAACATTTTATATTATTGTGTGACGTTAATACAAGATACTGCAAAGTAAATGACAATTGAAAATATTAATAGATATGACTATATTTGCATCTAATAATCATTTCTCTCAAATGTCAAGGCAAGTCAAGATTCACAGACCTTTCATACATCAAATTTTATAATTTAAATAATGTGATATTTCATGTTATTTCATAGGAAAAAGAATAGGACGCGACGGTTTTTCTGCTATATATTTCCTACGTATTTAATTTAATTTCACCTACAGATCAATGACAATTCTATCTACGCCACCGTCACCATCAAGCGATTCATCTAATAGAATAATACTCATTGCAATGAAACAATGGAAAAGCACTTACTGTCGATTCACAGAAATCAAAACGTCCAAATCGAAAGTATCCACTACACGCTATAGGGAAGATTTCAATTCTTCTAGATCACATCTAGATCTGCATCACCAATTCAATTCAATAACTGCAACTCAATTCAATAACCGCAAAATCGAAAACTTTTACATAATATACAAAAATAAGAATTCAAGCATAAGGTATAAAATTGCAAATTTCTTTATTAGAATGGACACGATCTTTTCTCAACCTCGAGATCTTATCTAAAAGAGGAAGAAATTTTTTTTATGAAAGATCACGGATCGAAAATCACTCAACATCTCCGATTTGATAGAAGAAAGTGCTACCCGAAGTGGTAGCTTGGAAGAACGTCGAACGACTAATGATGCCTTTCTCGAGAATCACTTCCAAAGATCCTCCAAGGACAACAGTTCTCTTAAGGTTGTTAGTAGATAAGTAACAAAGTTCTGAAGGCTCTTCGCCGGCTGTCCTTCCCTCTGACATGAAATCACGAAAGAGATCGAGAAATAAAAGCAAAATGAGACGCCAAAAGGCAATGAACGTCCTTGCGAATCTATAAAAGTCACTGGAGGCTCGATACTTGGATGATTTTAAATAGTTTTTAAGCAACCTTTGGAGACTGGCGCCAACAGAAATTATCTTCTCCTACGTCGATATTTTTATTATTTCAATAATCCACAAAGGAATGAAATGGAATTATGAAATGAAACGTAGAGGGATTTTCATTTACATGTTGTTTAAAAAAGTTGATTGTCAGATGGATCAAGGATATCTATAGGTAACATTTTTTAATAAAAATAGGGAATAGTACTAGAAGTGTAAGCAGAATCTTATTTGATATATTTTACAACTGATATTTTTCTTTTAGAGAAACGACTAAATTTTCCAGTCAGCCATATATACGTATATATATACATGCAAGAGTCTCAAGAATATAAGAAATAACAGAGTCAAACGACTACGTCGACGAGGGATTGGTATCACCCAACGGCACGGACCGTTCGATCGATAGAAATTTAATCTAATTAGCAAGATTAGATCGTCCCAGTTCAGGCAGGCGACAAATTTTGCGAGCTTCACGCGAGAATCATCAACCCCACATAGCGAAATTAAACCAAATATTGTGAATCTGGGTCAGTCGGCCTCATTGACGAACTTGTCTCTTGAACCTGCGCCAATTCACACCGGATAGCTATGTGATCAACTAGTAAATCAAACGTGACTCGACCACACTGACCCACCTTTATCCATCGTAAATCATCATTATAACTTGTTTCATCCGATATCGTCAATCCTCCACGAAGAAGAATATTGTAAATTTGTTTATTTGGTGGTCTTGCTACGATTTTAACGAAATTTAATCAGCTCAAATGAGAATTTTTCTATTTATACGCCGTCATTGTACATGGGTATTTCCACAGGAGGTAGGAATCCTACATCACGAAGCTGACAGAATGAACGCACAATTAAGTTGGAAGAAAATCTTAACGTAATTATCAAATTAGATAGACTGATAATTAATAGTTGCCATCAGTATCACCATTTTAACAATCCTCATTCTTTCTTTTCAGGAAGAAAGCACATAAATAATTTGCAAAAGTATTTCGATACATACTCAAACGTAAGTTGTTTACAGAATCATAAGTGAGACTTACATGGATGCTAATATATCATTGCATGTTTATTATTTTTTTTTTCTAAAACCAACATTATTTTTACTACTGATTCTTTGATTAAAATTGCCATAAATGAATTCAAGCGTTAACTTATGCTCAGTTATATATTTAAAGGAACCTACCGTGCCTCTACTTTTTTCTTTCCTGCTTTATCAAACGAACCACCCTCAATGACGGAGAATATTCATAGAAGAACATCAGGAACCAAGAATTAACTCACGACCCAACAAGGGCACATCACATTAATTGTAGGCCCATTCATAACGAAGACGAAGCACTTTAGTAATGAAAACGAGAGAGAGTGCAAAGCAACACGAAGGATCATAACGAAGTATCACAACGAATGACCGAAGAATTAACAAATTAGCCACTATTTGACGTCAAGAACAATTCACGAAGAATCGTTGCTCGTTACGACATATGCATTACACGCGCCGCTTAAATCGATCAATTACCCTGTGGAAAAGTCGTGCACGTGCAGCAGTGAGTATGTTTATCTCCATCTTTTACCCGGTCACAGAAGGACAGGTAAGTTCAGTATCAGACAGGACAAATCGTTTCGTTTGTTCGGACGTTATAAGTGGATAGATTCAATAGAGACGGATTTTGTGAGATTGATTTGAAAGATCGAGGAAGTAACAAAACGCTTTCGGGTCGAGGGAGTAACGCGAAACTCACTGAAAGAAGTGGCAAGGTACGCAAAGGGCTGCTAACCAACTCCCACCCTCGACTGCGCACCCCGGAAACCGCAACGCGACTGGAGCTGCTGCAGTGCGCAACAGCCCCTCGATTCGCCCACACTGGTCCTGTCAAATTTGGATTTCATAGGTAACCAACGCGCAATCAGGATGTGCTTGCATGTTTTGATAATTTCAATAATCGAAGGATCGTATCAGAGAGAAATTGTCAAAGAAGTATTTTTGTTGGAAGACTTTAACCCATTCAAAACTTTTAAAATTTGTAGATTCTCAAATTGAAATTGAAATTGAATGAATCTTTGCATTTCCAGATATTTGAATTTCTGGAGTCTCTGGAGAACTTTTATAATTTATCATTAAATTGTTGGATCTTTTTGCTTCAGTTTTTTTTAAATTCTCAAGTTTCTTGGTTTGAAATTTAAACGCGAAAACTGCATCTCCGTTGTTGAAATAACAATCTATTTATGGAAAAAAGTACACAATAACAATGTATTTAGTACACAAATTCATCATAACGATGGCTCTTTTCATATGATGGATACATTTCAAATGTATCTTAACGGATGTATAATTTCACTAACAGTTTCAAAGGTGAATATAATTTCGCGAGGTGTTTCCTTTCGTTCAATTTATCTGAAATTCAGTATGTACTCGCGTGATTCCGCTTCCTACACAGACGATTATCAAAAATTCCTTTCGCGTAATACTTAAAAGCACACTTTTCGGGAATATCGTTTGTCAATTCTCCGTGCGTATCTTCAAAGGAAATATATATTTTGAATAATGTATACCTGTGAAACGTACGCGTGTTGAATGTAGCATTGCATTTGTTCAATTCAAACTAAATTATTTCTACTAAATACTGAGATTACACGTATTACATTAAAAAAAAAATTATCGTATTTTTCAAACCAAGCAATTGTTTCAAAACCAACGTTACTCGCATAATTAAAGAGCTCAATAATTATATGTCTTTGTCAAATTTCATAATTTATCAGAACGTGATAGATCGTTATTATAAGAAATGATCCGTATCTTGACGATTGACTCCATCAATCTCTTGATTTTTTTTAAATTTCTAAATTTCTGATTTTTTTTAATTTTCAGAAGATTGAAAAGAACAACAAGTTGATGTACATACATCGAAAAATAACTCCCGATGCTCTGCAACTTGAATCAGCGATGGTGAATAGCGTTTGCTGTCTTCGCAGGATCACGGCGCCAGAAGAAAGCCCTCGTCGACAGTTTCAGAGGACCGTGGACTTGAAAACAAGGTGGCTGATAGCAGGATGTCTTCCTTTTTGAACGAAGATTTGCTTTATGATCTCCTCAGCGGCTGCTATCAAACTGATCGTTGAAACGGGTCGTCAGGATACTAATATTCCGTGGCATACATATATGAACCCAGTGGTCCAGATTACACGGGGGAGATTCTGAATCACGTGATAGGTCGCATGTTTGCAACCGTACAATATATATAACTCCGTCTGTTGTAAATAGCTCGGATTAATTTGTCGGCGGCGCAGGACACGCTGGCGTCGTTCTTCCTTCCGCAAGGGATTTCGCAATCGTTCCACGCTTTTAATAGCTCTCAATGCAAACCATTTGAAACCAATACGATTCACTTTTCTTTTTCCTCGAGCGTCCACGACAGGACAATTCATTGCTGCAAATTGAAGATGATTGAAAACGATTGGAAACTTATATAGCCACATAAAAAAGTAATTCTATGTTCTTATATCTTCCCTTTTATCTTCTTACATCACCTTCAACGTTTAAACTCGATAGTGTTATGTATATTTTATAGAATTAAATAATTACAGAACCATCTAAAAACTTTTAATTTATATATATATATATATTTCTATATATGAAATTGACTTTAGTAATTTTGTTGTAACGTGTTTTCGAAAGTTTTAGGAATGGTTGTATCGATTCTTTTTATTTTTTAATCATACTGTTTACATTTAAGTAAAAGAAGAAAACTTAATAGCTTTTTTTCATGGAATTTGAAAGATAAGAATTTCATTTTACCAAAGAACTTTATTTTATTTCGATTATATAAAAAAAAAAACAAAAGTATGGTTTTGTTCGTTACATAGTCTTTCGTTTTTGTCTATTTTTTTATCGATTATTTCAGCAAACTCAGTCAAAGGAAAGAATAGAAATGTCCTCTCGACGAAAAAGCGAATATAGAAAAAAAATAGGAAAAAAACATTCATCCTTCATTCATCAAGATCGGCGCATTTAAAGTGAACTTAAATCTATGGTATCCATTCGACTTCGTTCGTTTCGTAATTCTTCGTAATAGCTGCTCTGGTGTTTTCTTCAGGTTTGCTCGTGCTCTTTTCTTCGCTTCCGGTCAATTTGTGATACACTTTGCTTCCTGTATTGGCCACCCATTGGACACCATCTCCTAGTTTCTCTCCAGCTTTACGGACCACATTTCCAAGATTCTCAGCTGAGAAAGTATTTGGATCTACGTTGATGTCCAGGGTATTATTGCCATGAGGACATCCTGATTGAGAAATGATGCTCAAGTCGAAAGGATCCACACCGTAATAAGTCAGCATTTGACGTAGATTGTCCACGGATTGCTTGTCCAATTCTCGATGCCTGGAAAGGATCGTCGCACTCTGACGATGGGCAAACGTCAGCTTCTGGCATGTAAAGATACCCGCGTAGTTCACGTAATCTGTTGCGAATACTACGTGAGACGCACTTCCAGCTATACCTTCAAGTAAATTAAATTGCTCAAGTTAAAAGTGACAAGTGAAAAACTAATAAGTTAAATTGCTTAGTGTATGTAATTGGACCGTTCATTGGAGATTCTTTGAAACGTTTGACGAAGCAATGCCGTAGTCTAATATGTTCAAATTCAAAAAATTTAAAGAAACCATATTATTAGAAACCATAAAACTGAGCTAAGCAATCGCGTTCCCTCACTACGGTTAATATGACAAAGATACATATGTTTCATAAAATATGATCATCATGATACTTACTAAGAGGAAAACGAACTTGCATTCGAGCCGGCGTACTTGGTTCCGGTACGGTCAATTCACCGGTGTAATGATACTCGTGCTTCAATGGCGTAAGACCTGTGCATAGAGACATCGCTTCATTACGGATAATTCATCCCACTTGCCAGACAGTTATCCTATTGACATGCTTTTATGAGTCCCGATGAGATCCGACGTTCTGCTTCTTTATTAATTCAAAAGCTTCCAGCAATATACATATATACACACCGCGACCGCACCGTCTATAAAAGAAAGTCTTATCTTCTTCGGCGCTTCGTCGTCGACTATCGGTTCATCGTTGACAAACAGAACGTTGAATCTGCTATTATTGAATCTCTATCATTCTTTATAGCCTCCACGAATCTTTCTTCCAAGTTACTTCTTTCATTGTTAACTTTTACAATACTGTATCACACAACTGCGAATGTTTATACATTTATAGGAAAAGTTAGTTAAAGATGTAAAAAATGCATGCTGCGTAGATTCGATTTCTCTGATTGCATTAAAAAATATATGTATATAGACATTCGCAGTTTATTACCATCATTTTCCTGGGCTCTCTTCTTACCTAATACTGGATGATCAGAATCTTGCGTTATAACGTATTCACCCGGCTCTTCTCCACGGGTATAGTTGTAAGTGATACATTTGCTGGCGGTCGATGTTTTTTGGATTACGTACCATACACCTAAGAACTAAATTTACAAAATTATCGCAAATATACAACAGGAGAAGATTTGTCACAATCAATAATATAATTAACTTACTTTGTTCATTTGAAATCCGGACATTGGTTCCACGATGGGGCAAGCGCCCATGTGATACGTGTGTGCCCTAGCCAGGATAAAACATCCTAGCAGGAATGTTAAAAGGGATAGTGTCTTCATCTGTGAAAGAAAATTTTTATATCAGAAAATAACGATTTCAAACGTCGGTGAAATTTTTAAAAAACGAATTATCATGATTTACAAAATCAATAATTTCCTGATGACAACATAATTCATGTAATTTTATTTGCAAATACAAAGATATTTAATTTTATAATTAAGGAAAATTATAGCAATAAATTTGAATCATAGGATTAATGCTGTTTTCCTCATACAATTTGCACTCAAAGCGAAAAACACGTCCAATAAAACTGAAATTTTCTATAACGACAGAAAAATGTGTGCCGCAGAGAGCAAAGATTAATATCAACTTTGGTGACCTCAGTACTCAGTTCCAGAAACGATTTATCACAAGAGTCATGTTTCTTTTATTATTCACACTCGATAGCAGAATGATGTTTTTCTCTGGAACGCTAATTAACATAACGCAAGATGGAGGGGCAACTTAAGTCTGTGTCTATTCTAGATTTATGTAACGAATAGGCCAAGAACCTCAATTCACTTAATATGTTGCCTTATAACACAGAAATATTTTTTTCTACATGAAAAGAAAGAAAACTAGATTAATATTCTTTAAATCTATAGTCTATAATTGTTTTGAATGCATTTAAGTTAAAATTTTCTAAATTTATTTAATAAAATCTATCAATGAAAATTAGTACTGTGGCAGAATCATTTTGGAGCATATTAAAATATTTAAGGTTTAAGTATAAATCTTAAAAAACAAATGCTTGATTTATCGACTATCTAAGGTACATTTAAATTGTAAATGGAAAAATAGATAGAAATACAATGTATTGTTTTGTAAACGCATTTCAACAAATATACTCACTGCGAAATGATGCTGTCAAGCTCTGAACTAGTACTGTAAATAGTGGCTTCAGTGGAGAAGGATTTTATGAGATATGCCCCACTCTCAATGCAATTATGTTTCACGTATACTTTGAATGGGCTAGCATGGTCAAACACATTGTTTCTAAAGAATCTGTAGAAATGAGTCAATTTCTTTTGTTGCTTTTTGTAAATGGCTATTTTCTTTTCTGCCATATTATAGTAATTTTTTAGAAAAATTAGCTTTTTAGAAAATTCATCTTTGAACATTTTTTACTATTATTTTGAAATTATAACCTGCTTATTTTTATAGAGAAATAACAACAACAAAATTTAAATTTTTCATCGATATTTTTTATTAAAATATGAAACATCGTAAATATGCGATATTCTATAATATTAAATTTATAATTATTTTAATAGCTCACTGTTCAATAGTCTGTGACATAAAAAATGAGATAGAAATCTTTAGAACTTACATGTGTCTTTTCTCGCAAAAGGCAGTTTGTGTTCATTGAAATTGAGCTGAAGATATGAGTACTGTGTTATTTTGCTATACCGTTGCTTGCGATGAATCATCTTCATCCGTACGTGAATCAAGTTGATCGTTCTGAGAATCGCTAACATCACGTATGGTTTCATTCTTTTTTCTCTTTCTATAGAATTTAATTTAATTTACACATTACTGAGATAAAAAAAAACTGGATTTATATTAATACAGATATATATATATCTATGAATACGATAATGCTAAACAAATTATTGAAATTTCTCCTGCATCGAGGAACATATTTTAATAAAATATTATCATTTATAGAGTAAAAATTAAAAAAAAAAGATATATTTTTAACAAGCGTACGAATTTCTCAGTGATACATATACTTAACAGTGACAATATATCCTCAGCTGAATTCCCAACATTAACTGTTATTATCTCTCTTAAAACAAGAACACTTACAGTGCTTACAGTGACAAAAATAATTTTCCTATTCAGTATATAATGGAACGATACCTAACTACTCACAATATTTTGATTAAAATGAATAAGTAATGAATGTCTTACAATCTAAGATAAAACCCTAAGAGTATACGACATTGTGTTTTTATACGACAGAAATGAATCATTCAAACATCTCTTACAGAACACTTTTTATTCGAGTATACTAGAATGACTTATATGATATTTATCAAAAATTTGTAGCATTGTCTAAATATATCAATGTGAATACATTGTTTGAAAAATAAGTCATTAAAAAAATTCTTAAATACTTTCGTATGTATGAATAAATTAACTTTTCAGTATACCCTGAGACATATTCTCTATGTAGTCACACAATTAAAACGTCACGATATCTGAGTACCATTCATTCATCAATTTGTATTATTGTTCGGTATTATACCCGTGGCAATTTCGAAATATCTAAATCGTTGAAGTAAGGATGTTGTAGAGCGGCACGTGCTGATATTCTATGTACAGGATCATAAATAAGCATCATTTGCAACAGATCAAGTCCATCTGCATCTAACGTTTTAACTTGCGATTCCAAATTGTTTGTTATCCAATTTGGAAACGTGGCCTTATAATCTGATAATTGTGTTACACCAGGCCATATTTCTTCAGTAGGTGTTCTCAGAATTCTACAAAGTATTTATTATTATTTTATTAAATTGCAATCTTATATAGCATATTCAACATACCGAAATATTCTAAATAACTGGTCAATTTCACTATCTCCTTGGAATAATGGCTTTTTTGTTGCCATTTCAGCAAATATGCAGCCTATGCTCCATATATCAATAGCACATGAATATCTATTAGCACCAAGAAGAATTTCTGGAGCTCTATACCATAAAGTAACCACTTCATGTGTATATACTCTGACTGGTATCCCAAAAGCTCTTCCAAGACCAAAATCTGCTACCTTAATTAATCCTGATTTGTCAATTAATAAATTTTGCGGCTTTAGATCACGATGTAATATTCTACGCTTGTGACAAAAGAGAGTAGCACGTGTGATCTATAAAAACAAATCAGTTAATTCAATCATTTAATTCAATTTTCTGCTGACAAATGATAGTAAATTCTAACTAGGACATGCTATATAACAGATTTCATATATTAGAAACATTTTAAATACCTGATATAAATAAGACTTGACCATTTGTGGCTCCATTAATTTTCCATTACCTAAACTATCCATATATTTCTTCAAATCCATAGTAAGATATTCAAAGATCAGATATAATCTGGTTTCTTCCATAAGAACATCGATTAATTTAACAACATTGGGATGTGGCAGTTCTTTGAGCAAAGAGATTTCACGAATCGCTGTGGATGGTATTCCTTCATCATCACTCTCTAAACGAATCTTTTTCATAGCTACAATCTCTCCAGTTTTCTTATGCTTTCCCTTGTATACCACTCCATATGTACCTATGAAAATTTCTTTTACTGTAATATTGCTCTTTCATTTTCCCTTGATTAGAGATAGAATAACAAAAGCTACATCATTTCCATTATGTAAATGAAATATAAATATGTCCATAAGCAATTATCTTAGTCTTAGCTTGCTGAAGCATCTTATCTAGCATCCTAGATTGATCGATAATTATAATTTTTGAAATATTCATGTTTCAATAACCTACGTCAAGAAGCCATGCCCGACAAAATTTACAAACTCAAAAATCGATTACAACATTGATCGCATAAAAGATCGATTGGCCACGTCTTCATACAAATTTACTCAAAATACTTGAATGGAAAGTAGTAAAAGAATGTTGAAAAATATTAACGAAAACATTGATTGGAAAAACAACGTAATTTGTAAAGTACTATACAAAATCATTCACCTTCGCCAATTTTCTCGATCTTTACGAAATTCTCCATTGTGGATATACACTTTTGAGCAGAGAGCTGCCTAATATATTCTTCTAAACTTCAATGTCTAACGTAATTCGTATATATAATAGGATTTCGCATATATCTCAGAAACTTTCCACGTATAACGTCACGTAACGATCAAATTCAAACATCGGTACGCCATATTGATAAACAAGCTTCAATGTTCAGCGTTCGGTATGGTTCGTAACAAGTCGGCCTTGCCCTGACCAATCCGGACTAATGTTACAATAGTTACGCGCTGACAGAAGCGCAGCTGTTGCTTCTAAGCGCGCGCTTTCTCCCTAGATTCCAGTAGAAATCATAATTACGACCAGAAATTCGTAAATCGATTGTATTTCTCGTCTGTAGCTCACGAATGTTCGAATATTGTGAAAATTCGAACTTAAAACTCGGCATTCAGAATTTTAAGACTCCTGGATTTTCACTAGCTTTGCGTTGATAAATTGTAAATATTGATAAATTCTAAAATTTGAAAATCTCATGAGCATCGAGTATCTCTTCGATCATAAAGATCAAACTTCTGGAAGTTTGTAAACATAAAAAAAAAAAAAGAAAGAAAAACATATGATCTGTGTCAATGAACCTCTTATGTATTTGTACATAATATATAGATACAATGTGAAATTATCATATAAATTGGTGTTGCAAGCACATTCGTAGCATAAAAAGATCGTCTGCTTCACCTTTCATTTCCGCGAACAGATAATGAAAAATAATCATCGTCAAGCCGAGAGTACAGAGCTCTTCTCCCAAATTTTTAACAAATTTATTTCTTTTCTTTCAATGTTTACAATATAATTGTACAACTATAACAGTATCTTTCGTATCTTTTATTATATATAAGCATTATTATTTTTGTAGTAACTTTCTATAGTTTCTATTTATAACGACCTCAAAATAATAACTCTGCTTCATAATCGACCTGACGAGATTATACATATCAACAGAAAAAGAATCCAGTTGCACCTTTGGGCGTCATTAATCCTAAACTCATTGTTCAAAAGGTTTCACCCCATTTTATCGGGGAAATTGATAACCACCACTGGCATAACCAAGTCCAACACCACGTTGTGTGTGTGTAGTAGCGCGTGCTACCTCGTACTGTTGTTCCATATTATTAAACATCTCTTCTTGCTTCTTCAATATATCTGGTTTAGCACCTACTGTCGGAGTAGTTGGTAAATCATCTTTAATGCCCATTAATCGTTTAAACTTTGCTGTTACTTTTCCATCTTGATCATGCGTAAACGTCGTTCCCACCCAAGTGTTTGCAGTGGAAGCTGCTGTAGACGTTTTGCCTTCGTCTTGCTTCGACTATAAATAAAAATACTTCATCAAATGTAAAGAAATCATTCATTGAAGATCACAGAGGGAAAATATGATAAGTATTTAATTACACATTATACGCTAGATTTTAAAATTGCTCTCATAGAAATGTAACTTATCGTTTCTTTTCCCTGTGGTCTTCATGTAAAATCGAATCGCCAGTGATTACCTTATTTGCCCATAACAGTTTCCTCTTCTGTATTTGCTCTGCGTATTTTCCTTGCGTCGCCGTGGCCAAAGGATTATAATAATTCTGTTCGTTTTGAACACCGGGTGTAACAGTGTCACCTTCTGGTGCTTTAAGTTCGATTCCTAACTTCTCCAATTGAGCTAATTTGTTTCTGCCCTTCTCCTCTCTGTAGCTCATCGTTCTAAAAAGCGGCGGAGCTCGGTCTCTTGATCTAGATCTAGATCTTGCGCGATCTTTTTCTTTGTGATAATTGGATCGATCGTCCCGATACCGGTCCTTCGATCTATCGTCTCTAGAATGCCGACGATCTCGATCTCTATCCCTATCCCTGCGTCTATCTCTATCGTTTCTATCACGGTTTCGATCCCTTCGATCATCGCGGTAGTGATGATCTTTGTCACTCTTCTCCTTGTCGTCATTTTTCTCGTCCCTACTCGATCCCAAAGAACTCTTCTCCTTCTTTTTATCATCGTCACGAGATTTTCTGTCATCGTCGCGACTCCTCTTTATATCTCTGTCCCTGTGACTGCTTTCTCGCTGCCTTCTATCATCATACGACGGTCGGCGTCCCTTATCGTTTGTGTGTCTACTACGGTCAGATCTATCTCCTCGTTTGTGCTCGTCTTTTGAGTTTGCTGTATGATTCTCATGATCAGATCGCCTGTAAAACGATTACGTTCTGCAGGATATACCACACAGATTCGTATTATTATTCTGTATGTAAGGCAAACATTATGTGGTAATGTATGTTGCAAGTTTGTTTGTTTTTTTTTTTTGTCTCTTATAAAGTTCAAAGAAATAAAGTTCATTAATTTAAGTTCAGAAAAGAGAATACGCATACAAACAAACCAGCTTACCTCTGGTCTGAGGGGGAAGGTAATATTCGGGATGAGTCTGCTTTTGATTGTGCAGTTGGACTATGTGCCCTTTCACTACTGGATTCCCTGGATGAATTGTTGTTGTTGCTTTCCTAAAGAAATAAAAATTACACACGTTATTATGCACCTTTCACGTATTTTATTAAGTGAAACATAAATCTCAATTTACATTGCACGAACTATAATATAAATTAATTAAACATTCTTTTAGTACCCTCACAGTTTGGCAAAAAACAGTTTTTTCACTCACTGTAATTTTGTATCCTTGAACTTTTTAAGCAGCAAGTTCATTTCGAAATTGTGAAATTTGCAAAAATGTGATTGACAAAATTTCAGTGTTCACAAAGATTGAGTTTTACAATATTTATAATTATCAAGTAAAAATTACTATATCCTAATACTTCTGATATTTAAAAATAGAGAGTATTCTTAAAACTAATAATTTTCATGGAAAAATAAATTTGTCTCACATCCTTGGTTGTACTTGTTACAAAAACTTGTTACAATATAGAAGGTTTTATTCGTCGTAAATATTATAAATTTTTTCCGATCAAATTTCTGGTAGATGAACGGAATAAAAGAGAAACAGGAATATAAGGGCCCTTCATATTTATCTGCTTTAGCAGTTAGTTATATTACCCGAATACGTTTGTACATGTGGTTTCTTTGATGGTTGATTTTTTATTAGTGTTACCTTCTTCCAGCTTCCTCTACTCACCTCTGTCTTCTGAATAGGACTTGGGGTAGTCTTGAAAGACCCTCACACAGCATAGACCTTGCCGAGGTGCGTAGATATTGTATCATGTATTACCAACAGAGCTACGTGTTAATATTTTCTCACGAAATGGCACTATTCCCATTTACTTATTATTTAAATTTTAAATATCTCAATCTCTACCCTCATTGTTTCTGCCACGTGATAAATCAGGCTTTAAGGTCATGTCTCAAACTTCTCAGAATTTTACATTTATTGTGTTTTAACCATATTGCTATGAAATATTAAAAACATGATGTAAAAATAATATAAAGTAAGAGTACTTTGTATCATAGTGATATGATGTAAATAATATGATTTGTATTAGTTATTAATTCCAAAGTGAAAGTCATAATAAGAAACAACTATTGCCATTATATTATATATACTGTGTTTTATGTTCATCAGCATTTTTATGGTTAAAAATAATTAACTGAAATTATTGTACAAGACCACTATGAAACAATCTTTACTTCAAATATAAATAGTTCTGTAAATTCTGCTTGAATGTTCAATACAAAATATTGGTGTAATAAGAGTGCTATTGTGAAATTATATTTTATTTACATGGTTTTGACATGACCTCCAAAAACCAAATATTAAACCATTCATTTTTATATATCAGGTATGACATAAAGTCATCATATGTATGTACAGCCCCCATAAAGATACCACATCTTCCTAGTGATTGTTGTAACATTTTGTACTTATTACAAACAAACATGTGCAAACATTCAATTTCACTGTACCTCACTCATATCCATTTGTACTGGATCATAATTAGCATCACTGGCCCGTTTACTGGTATCGCCATGCATCCCATATGGTATCTTTGAAACAATATTCATAATAAATTATCAAATAATTTACAAGGAGCAAATATTTCAAATATTATAGACATTAATTAATATTAAATTAATAATAAGTGTTTATAAGAATATCAAGTGAAAAATTGTTATATTACAAAAATAATCATTACATATAACACATATGTTACATATACTGTTAGATGCAAAAAGGGTTTCAATAATAAAAACCAGTTACATTTAAAAATAAAATATTTCTTATATATTTCCTATATTTCTTAAATAAATATTTCTTATATTTCAAGGCTGTTTATATTATTAAAAAATTTAATATTTCTTCCTAATACTTTTATTTATGCAATATGAATTATGTATTAGTAAAATACTAACATAGTATTTTATTTATGCAATATGAATTATGTATTAGTAAAATACTAATATACCTAAAAAAAACTGGGTATTCTGAAGCCGTTCTTGTATCCAAATACACTTACATATAATTATTATATTTATCTTTAATCTTTATACTTATAATCATAATTCATAAGTAAATATGTTGTTTTAATAAATTGAGGTAAATAATCAAAATAAATAATCTATAATCAGTAAATATGTAAAAAATCATTACATATAGTAGCAATTTCAACAAAATAACTTCAATGATTTTCACAAATTGACTATTGTAATCTACATAACAGAGTGTGTTATTGATCTACAGAGTTGAACAAAACAATGGATTATTCATCAAAGCAATCATAAAACATTCCAAAAGCTTTTACTTATTCGTATATTATCAAAGCTTAAATTATATAAAATATTTGAATTCAATATGACACATTAGAACAGGGAGCCTTTGCATATTTTTCCTGCAGAAATCACTTCGTTAGGTTACTTATTATATCAAATTCATAGATTTTTGTTCCAAAAATTGTAGTCACACAAGAATCTTTTAAATCCCGCAGTGACCTGAATCTTTTTTTGCAACTCACATTTTCTTGTCATACATACCCACATTATATGTCAGCAAGAAGAATTTCTTATTACAAAGTAGTAATGATCTCGTAAAATGAATCAGTATAAATCATTATCTATTTACATAGAAGTATATCTGATGTATTATCTATTTTTGGTGGAGTCATCGAAGACTCCGATATTTCATTGCAAGATTAATAATTAACAAATTATATATTGACTTAAGAATCTATCCTAGAAGCCATGTCGAGTATATATACAAAATGTTTCTTAAGCGTCATGGATGCCTAGCGTGAAAATGCGCCATCAGTGAAATAATCGTAAATTAACCCAATATTTTAACTCACCTTTGGATCTTCCGAATTGTTACTATTATCTCCGTCACTAGCGTAATTCGCTAACGAATCCATGATAGCGTGAAAACGGGGAACAAACTGTCCGAAATTGTTACAGTTACGACGTTACGACTAACGCGGCGCGTCGATCCTAGGCTGCCTTGCGCAGAAACGCCATTGGCCAAGAGAGAATGTTTAACTAGCGTGTATTTGTGCTTTCATAGCGCTTCCATCGAATGGGGTTATCAAGGCGGAAATGGAAGGAGAGAGATACAGGAAATGCAAGACGAGCGGCGAAATTAGGCGCGAATCTGAAAATCTCCGCGCAATTTCTTACGAATTAATAACCAAGTGATTTAATATTGTATCATTATAATAACTGCAGCTGTTTATATATACATAATACCTTTACGATGTAATCTAAATTGATGAGAAACAAAAATATATGTATATATCATAATATTATACATGTGTAATATATGGATCAAAGAATACATTCTATTATAGCAAATGTAAAGATAAATTTACAATAAAAGTAATAGTCCTTATAATAAAAAATAAATTAATTATCGCGATCTGTTCACAACCATGTGCTAATTAATTCTATAATTAGTACATGATTTGCTCGATATAATAGCTGTATAGCGAAATATAGTTATACAGCATGAAAAACATATTTTGAAATTTAATAAATCTTTCTCAATCATTTTTAAACTATGCTTTCTTTATATGCATACATTTTTTTATATAATGATTACAAAAAATATTTGCACATTTTTATTTTCCAATGAAGTATTTTCATAATTGTACATGCTATTAAATAATATGGAATTCAATACATTTTGGATTAATTAATAGCGATATGTGATGTTATAATAAATAAAGTAACGAGCAAGTATCTTTTACGACATATTCTTTCAACTTTTCTTTCGGCTACTGTTAAAAGAAAGATCAGTCTTTTATAAAACGCATGTTATTATCTAAATTCTCATGTTCTTAAACAATCTGCCTCGCTATTAAAATTTGTCGCATCGTCGACAAAGCAACTCTCCGCAAGGGAGAAATCAGCTTGTAGGAGCGTCTTTATTTACAGATGAATCCCATCACTCGGCACAGCCAGGTGTGTGCTGAAGGTATACGGAAAGGTGTTGCAAAGGTGGGCTGATGCTAGAGAGCATTCGCATTGACGTTTACGCGCGGAGAAGCGCGAGCCGGTGTGCAAGGGAGTCGTGGAACAAACCGGGACGCAACAGTCGCTCACCAGACTTCGTACTGGAACTATCGCCGAAGCTATGGTTTCGCTCTTTCGTGACATTTCGTGATTCGAGCCTGGGATACCTGTTACAGACATCGTCCAGTAAAACGATATATCGGTAGATCAAAGCTGTCGCGGTGAGTGATTCCATTCACGTTTTCTTTCATTACGATCGCAGATACTCCGGTAGCCCGGGCAACAACCCTTCGATACGCCGATCGAAGTATCTCGGTACACGCGTACGGCGACCGTCGATTCTCTCGTTCCACTCGGATCTACGTGACCCCGTTTTCATCTTAAATCACAGTCAATTGTTTTTAACGGACGACATCCTCCGTGGCGAATTTTTCTGCCTAATCAGCGTGGCCCACACGACGTACAGTTTTTCAGCATATCCTTACGCGATCTCATGTTAGTTATCCAATTGCGAACCTGGAACATGGTTTAATTAATTAGAAGTGTAACGAGAAGTGATTTATTACTTGCCTCATTTCACATGCGTGCTTTTAATCATTTTAAAGGCCGACTTCTGTTAAACGAGTGCGTAATTATTTTATTATCGATTTTAGTACAGTTTAGTGTGTTCAGTAGTATATCGTAATTAGAACTACAACAAAAAAATTATATATGTATATAGTAATTATTGTGTATGTTATACTACATTATTTATATGCATAATGTTTCTCTTCCCAACATATTTTTTTTTTTTTGTAGTTCTAGTTACATATATGTGTAAATTTTTATCGTTTCAGCGTAAATAGATCCTCTTCTTCTGTTACTTATCTAATTTATCTGAAACACATTAAAATGACGAACATATCATAACAAACAAAGCAGAATAATGGTGATTTATCTCCTCAAGACTTAATTAATTATTTTACTTCGAATTGTGAATTTCTACAATCTATCGAAGAAGAAAGACGGTACATTTTCTTTATTTCGAATGTAAAATAGCCTTAATCGTTTGCAATAATTATCCTGTCCCGGGTTTTAACACAATGGTCGTTAAAACAGTTCTCCCCGAATCGATTCGCGATAATTCGATTGTATCGTTATACGATATTTCATTTCGCATTGGTGAAATCGTACAAGTGAGTTTGATTAGGTTATAAGACAATTTGTATTGGCGTCTCTCGCACGATATTCGTGTTGTTTATAATCGTTCTTCTCTGTCAGAAATGCTTTCGCTCGTTTACGTGCAAGTCGCAAGAGCCACGAATTGATGGTGATTGTTATCGATCGAAATTCCCATAACGCTCAACATTGCACAAGATTGCTCCATAATTCGACTACGAATGTTTATCCAAAATTTTACATAGATATATTTCTTCGTCTAGAACAAAAGAGATGGAATTTAAATCGCGAAATTTATTTCATCTGTTAAATGTTACAAGTAAGTATCTTACTTTGGATATTTTATCCATAACCTATTAATTTTGAGTAATGTTTAGTTTACACGTATGAACGTGTGAAATTACAATGATTCAGAATGTATAGATAATTTAATTAACATTTTTACATAATTGGACGTTTAATAAGAGAACACGAATCTTTTAATTTCAACTAAATAAAAATGAAGCGACAATAAAATAATGTGTATCAAAATGTCCATAAAAACGATCTTGCGAATACATTTGTTCAGCACATGTTCTTTTTTAAGCTATGATGAAATCTCTTACTTATTTTCTTGAATAAGGTCGTTAAACGTAAAAAAGAGGAAATAAAAGTGTTAACATATTTTGTCATCACTGCTGATATACGTGTACCTTTGCAAGATCAGTATATCGACCGATACGTTTAGACTATATTTATGATTGTAGCGTGAAATGTACGAAGCGACGTAAAAGCTAACAGAATTCATGGAAACCGAATCCATTCTTTTTATAAACATGATGTGATGCCGCGGTTGACATTTATTTATTCTAATTGAATCTTTGTTCGCAGTGTAAGTATATTAGTAAGTGCTGCTATGTTAAATCACTTGGAACGTATCTTGAGGAAATTGAATACAGTGCTGTCAGCAACGTTACATAGAAGCAGCAACATTACAATTTCACAGTGACAACGATCGATTTCGTTTGAATCGCAGCAATTATCTTTAATTACAACGCTATGTATTTATCAAAATTCAAATGAGATAGCAGGTCGACACAAGCGTAACAAATGACTCCTATGCGCATAAAATTGATTTCAATTGCTGCTGCTTTACATACATATGTATGTGCAGTGGTGAACAAGTGCATTAACATAGAACAAATTATAACGTAATTCTGTTATTATTTTTTATTTCTGTTTTACTTTAAGCCATAAAATCTCGAATACCAGGACCACGGTATATATTTCACGCGAACAGGATAGACATCTACCATGTTCTGGCAGAAGCGATCAGGTAAAAGATATTTCTTCGATAGGGGGCGATATTCAATCGCGTTATCAACGGAACGGAACGAAGCGGAAGTTGAGGGTTTCGAAATGAAGTTTGAAAAACGTGCCGGCACTGGTCTCGGCTTCTTTGTCCTTGTGAAATTACGTTCTAACCTTTGTGATTTCGTATCGATCGTGGGGGAAAGTACACGGTACCATTCGGCTCCAACGGATGAAAAGTCGCTTTGGGGATACGCTAGAGGACCATCAAGTTTCCTCGTCGGGGAAATTGTCAGAAGTATCAGGGACAGAAAACACGAGCCGTCGCGACCGGCCGGAAATTAATTTAGAAAATGCGGTTATCGTAGGAAAGGAAAGAAAAAGAAAAAAAAAAATTATTCTGTTCCCAGAGGCCAACGCCGCGTCAGCCACGTTCAATGGTTATTAATTAAATCTGGCTCACGCCGTTGAACTTTTTGTCAATACTTTTCCCGTTAATTACAGGCCAGTTGTGTCGGCTGACTCTATTCTTATATTATTGTGCCGCAACACCGAGCCGGATATCATGAAATTTGCGAGAACACCTTTGCGAAACACATTCGTATTTCATTGCCAGGAGTTATAAAACTTATGGAAATTTTATACTCGAGAAGAGATATCGAGTTGAAGAAGTTAACTGTGTTATCGTTACGTACGAATTTACAGTAACTTGAAAGCAGACAAAGAGTCTCATAGAGAAATGAATAATACAGGAGTTTACATTGAAAATCTTATGTACGACACAGTTAGAAGGTAATACACAAGGTTCTCGCAACGAACTTGAATAAAATAAAAGCAAAGCTAATCGATTGTGTTTAGAAATGGGTTTTGAAATGAGCATCGGTATCAATGAGATTGTATTATATCTTGTTCATGTTACACAGTGAGAGACAAAAGTATTCGTACAGTTGGAATACAAAAATAAAAAGAGAAATATTTTGTACATTTATTACTCTGTGTAATATGCATTTGAATATATTTAATATTATAAAAAATACTTCGTTTTCATCTCTACATACAATAAATCAACTGTACGAATGTTGTTATGTACATGAAGGAAAAAATTTCTTTCGCAATGGATTTAAATGGACACAATTTTAAGATTCTTTAACATCATTTAGGCCTGAAGATTGACAGCGCGAGAAAATGAAAAATTAAATAATTACGATATGAATTTGGTACACTCTGATTAGAATCGCTGTCTTGTTTTATTTGCACGCAAGTATCTATATACGATCTCGACGGTAAGAATATAAAAACATATTTGATCGGACGAGACGTACCTAAGAAGCTTATGAAACTTTTTCTTCAAAATATTTGTGAAGCAACTTATTAAACTTTCTTCTCAAATTGGTGGAAGTCTGAAGAGTTGTTTATACGAGACTATCCCGAGTTTCAGCGTATTCTTAATTCAGGTCTCTTATGCTTGCTACTATAAGTGTAAGTCATACTGGATTTTAAATGTTCTTTCGGACCGTCTTTGTTCCTTTCTTCCGTTTGTCTATGCTACCAGAAGAAAAAGAGACGTTGAAACTTTCATTTATCAATACTGTTTTTCTCTTTTAAATTATAATACAATTAATATAATATAGTTTAGTTATTATAATTAATCCTTAAATGCATAATTTTTCTAAAGATTTTTTAAAATTAATTAATTTAATTAGATATTATTAAAATATAGATAGTGAATGCATGAAAAATCATTTTCTCAATTTTATACGAAATTAAAGTCTTTTTGGATAAATTCAGCGATCATATTCCACTAGTATTTTCAAAATATAAGTCCCAAGTTAGTAAATAGATTAGATAAACCTATTTATGCAGTCATGTATGTAGTCCACACATTGAAATATCCAATCCGATTAGTATACATATGTAAGTGCCGGAAACAGGTCTTTAGAAGATTTTCCTAATAGAATTCATAAATATTGCTATTTACAATGATAATCAAAACTATTTTTACAGAATGATTCGCAAAAACTGATAAAAATACGTAAATGATGTTACGTAATCTTATTTTCGAAGTTGAAAGAAATGATGCAGAAGATGAATTGCATAACGAAAACCATATTTTCTTAATTCTTGATTTGAAACCAACCGGTCGTCATAATGTTAAAATTGCTGAATGTAAGTATAAAAACTCTTGCCACCACGTGAGCATTAATTGTCTTCTTATAACTTTGGCGACAGCTCGAGTCAACTCGGATTTCATTTCCGCCTTAGACCGACTCGAAATATCGAATCGGCTGGTACCATGCAATTTCTCGTACAGATCAACACGAGCGTGTAGCTTCGTATCGACTACCGTTACCCGTCGAAAACAATCTACAAAAGTATAGCACGGCAAAATTCATTGTTCTCGGAGGCGTGAGCTAAGCGAACGTGGTTTTACTTTTACCGTCACGGGAGAGATGCGAAGTAATCTTCGATCGAAGGAAATTCTCTGGGAGTCCGGATTCGTCCGGATGACGATACTGTGCGGGTTTCTTCCTCGTTTTCTTTTCATCGTTGGTCGCCTTCCTCGCGTATACTTGTCCCGTTTTCTCGCTGGAGCTCGCGCTCGCAACAAGCAAGGCTCGAGCATCAGCATGGTTCCGTTATCCGTCGTAAATACACGTCGGGTATCCTATACGCTTTACCTCTGGTGAAAATAAACAATGTAGGCTACGGCGTACGTTACCGATCCGATCCATGCACACACATACACACAGTGTCCGCAAAATCCAAGATTTTACTTAGAAATGTATTTATTCGAATCACCTAAGCTTCAACAATATCTTCAAATTCAATCCTCAACTCTGCACAAAATAATCAAACTAATAGATCAATATTAAGTTAGAATTGCACATGATATTTGTATCGCAGAAAATGGCATAGGATTTTTTTATAATAGAAGGTTGCGGGTTGCATTCATGGAGTTTGAGAGTCCTCTTGCCCAGTTTGAAGCGTTTTCATTGAGTTCACTCTTCATCTCTCTGTATATTCGTTTTAATATATGTGCTACCATCAGGAAAGATTGATTATTCCAACGTATTCTATGTTTTTCAATTGCTTTTCAATAGAATGCCGGATAAATAAAATTTTAATTGAAGTCGTGAATTGAATAGCAGCAATCAGGAATTTGGTATCTATTCTTT